GGTGCCATAGTCTCAAAAAGAAGACCCATGTTGGTCTCGCAAGTCTGGGTTGATTGCTTTCCTTTCTTTGCTTTTTCTTCATTGCTCACCTTTAAATGCTAAGCTCTTCCTCCTATAAGCACTTCCCACTCATCACTAGGAACCTGAAAGCCTAATGTCGTGCCAGTTGCTCAGTAAATATGGTAGAAGAACTAGATATGAAGTCCCTTCATATCTAGTTAGACACTTAGCCTCCTGTTTCCTGGTCTTTTTTTTTTTTTTTAAGATTTTTTAATTTATTTATGCATACAGAACTGGGGTGCAGTACAGAAGTGCAGAGGTGGTGAGAGGATTCACCTGAGACAGAGTAGGGAGCAGAACAGGCAGATTGATGAAGTCCACTGCTGAGGGAGCAGCGGGCAGGTCAGGAGAGGCCTCCTGCTGTGCTATGTGATGCCCTGGGCCATGTGGGTCACCTCCAGGGCTGGGGATTGAACTCTCACTGAGGCAGCTGCAACTCTCTTGCTATGCTGTGCTTTAGCCCATTACGCCACCAGGGAGAGCCCTGTTTCCTGGGCTGCTTATATGAAGTCAAGAGTTGGCTATTTTGACTCTGGAATGGGGTCTTAATTAGTTCAGTAGCTCCTTCCCATTCTACAGCAAAGATAAGGTCTTCTTTAGCTTCAACATCCTAGGGTTTTAAAACACAACACAGTGCTGCTACTAGTATAGGTGGCAGGATCTGATTAATAGCACATCGTAGCATTTGAGAGATAGAGATGATGTTAGAGGCCTAGGTTGTGTCCACCCAGGAGGACATCTAAATCTGTAGGAAGATGAGGGTGACTTTTCAAGTGTTTGAAGAATCTGGTAAGTCTAACAGTGACTTTGCCCAGTTAGAGCTGTACTTCTAAGCATCTCGTCTTGAATTGTGAAGCTCAGAATGGAGATGAAACTTAGGTCCTGGGCTAAGGACGATACTTGGGCTAGGTTTTTGAATGTAAATGTAAGTGTTTGGTGGGTGGTCAAAGGGGACAGTGGCATTTTAGAGAGTGAGGGCACGCTCGACTGTCTAGAATGCGTAAGTGTGGTGCAAGGGCCTGTGCATTGGCCACTGGGCAGGTGCACCAAGGTGAATAGCCAGAGGTGGATCTTGGAGTAAGCTCACCCAGGAAACGCTATGGCATAGTTTAGAGTTCAGATTTCTTTCCAAGGGATGGGAAACCATGAGAGCTTTAACCAAAGGAGAAGATGGTCAAGAATGGCAAATTCAGTTTCCAGGAAGGTCACTTTGCCGGAAAGATAAAGAATAGGTGAAAACTGGAGGCAGGTAGTTGACTCCTTCTTTCTTTCTGTTCCATCTTGCTACTTGTCTTTTCTACTGGCTAGTGATGCTGTTGGGTGTTTGGGTCTGAGAACAAATTCTAGTCATCAGATCAGTCTGTGTTTTCAGATTCTGCTGTGCTGCTTTTCCTACTCGCATGCCGTGGATGAGTTACTTAGTCTGTCAATAATTCAGTCTTGTCACCTGAAAAAATAGGACTAATAGAAATACTCATGAATACTTCTGAAATTGGCTGGGAAGATTAGATGAGATTAATGCACCATAAATGCTTGGCATGGTGCCAGGAATGCAAACCTTCACAAACTCTTAGCTAGTTTCATTAATAACAGGCAAGAGGTTTACATTTTAGAGCTGTCATTGCTAAAGCTATGGACTGAAAGCCTTAACTTAGAGATTCAAGTCAGCAGACCCTGCATAGGCCCATCTCTTCCGAGGACCAGGCTAGGCAGGTTGGAGGCGTAAAGGCTGAAGATCCAGGAGCATGTTGATCTTAGCCTCCGCAACAGGCAGAGTGTGTTAAATGCAATTCCATGGCCGAGAAGCAGAAAGGCTCTGGAGAAATTGATGGTGAGATGGGTCTTGAAGGGTGAGCTGGAGTCCAGTAGGTTGATTTGGAGGGAAAGGATTCTTCACACACTCATGTGTAAGTGGTGTGGAATTCTAGAAGGAGGAGAACAATAATGGAGAAAACCAGGGAAAGATATGGAGGACTAGAATCTGGGAACTCTTTAAGAGCATATTAGGAGCAAGAAAGTATTGAAATATAGTTTACATCAAATTACTCCAAAGATTTTGGACTTTCATCTGATACTAGATGAGGCTTATATTTAGACAGATTTGATGGCAAGGATGTGAATGAGAATGAAAGAGGAGAAGGTGATGGGGGAGGCCACGTAGGCCACAGAGGAAGCATGTCAGCAAGAAGCACTGGGAACCTGCACGAGGGCCCTTGGATGGAAAGGAGGAAGGAGCTAAGGAGCTTCTGGAAACAGAATTGTCATTTTCATGGGGTGATGTGGTAGAGACAGGGGTGCATTCAGGCAAGGATTTGAGAATGGGCAGTCAAGGGAGAAGGTGTAAGACCCTGTTCTGTATGTGAGGTGACTGGGAGACTCCATTGGAGGAGACATCACATGTGGAGGGCAGGGCTCAAGCCAACAAGTATGATCAGAACTGAGACAGAGAGAGGAGTCCTCCGCTTCAAGGTATATTTAAAGTTATACAGAACTGGAGAGAATTTGGGCAGGGAAGGACTCGCTCCCCTTTGGGGAATGGCTAATTTTCAGGTGGAGGAGCATGTGGCCAAAGCAGCAAGAAGAACAGAAGAGAGGGGCAAGGAGGAGTTTTTCAAGAGACACACAGATCCCACAATCTTAAAAGCACTGGGGGGAGGGGGGAGGGGTGAGGAGGGAAGTGGCACATGATAGGGTAAGTTGTTTGTTGCCTGATGAAACAAAAACAGTTTTAGTATCCGAGAGTGTCCCTGAAAGGACATGCCTGGGTCCCTAGGGCAGAGGGGACCTCTTGGGCATCTCCATCACAAATTTGACATTGATGGGCTTTGGGAGGCTTGGAGTGAATTTCCTTCAGGTCAGACTTTCTGCCCACAACCCCTTGCTTAAAACTCTCTCAAGGACTAGATTCCAGAGAGTCAGGAAAGGATCTTGGGGAAGCTGTGAGAACTTGAAGACTCTTTTATCACATCATAGCTATGGTCTAAATACAAATTCTTTTATAGGATGGAGCAGAAAGCTGAGTCTTCCTTGTAGTGTCTGATCACACAGGCCTTCCACTTCACTGATCTCTCTCTTTTTTTAAAAATAATATAATAGTTTATTTTTACATCATTTTGTGCATTTTCCCATCTCAGTTGTAATCCCCGTGGGCTTCCCATCACCAAATCACCCATGTGCCATCACCATAGTCCAGTGCATTTCCCTCCCCCCACTGTTTTTGATCCCATTCCCCACTCCACCCCCATAAAATGTCTCTGGTATATAGCTGTTCATTATTATTGTTATTTTCTCGCCTGGCCCATTAACAGTCCTGCTGTGAGTGAAACATTCCAGTATTTTTCCTTTTCTTTCTGGCTTATTTCACTAAGCATGATCTTCTCCAGCTCCATCCATGTGGCTGCAGAAGACATGTGTTTATTCTTTTTGGTTGCTGTGTAATATTCCATTGTGTATATGTACCACATCTTTTTAATCCAGTCATCCACTTTTGGGCATTTGGGCTGTTTCCATGCCTTTCCAACTGTAAATAAGGCAGCAGTAAACATAGGGGTGCAGGTATCTTTTTGAATCAGTGTTGCTGGTCTCTTTTTTTCCGTCTTGTCATCAAGTTCCTTCCACAAATAGGCACAGCCCTCCTCCCTGCTCTCGCTGGTGTGGGCTCTTGGGTTTCATTCTCTTTTTCTCTGCTGAGGATCCCCAGGTAGAAGGTTCTGCTGAAAGGACCTAGTTTTCATTGCAAATGGGTGCAGTGGGACATTTAAAGTGACAGCTGGATCTTCATGCAAATGACAGTGTTCCTGCCTCACACTGGCAGCTGGGAGAGCTGCTGGGTTCTGGGTCCTGGCTATTTCTAGCATCTGACCCTCCTACTTTCTTTCTCCCTGTTGAGGGGTGAGAGGGGCCCTCTATTTTCCTCCCACTCCCCTTGCTTTTTGTGACTTTCCAGCCCTTGCTTTCCTTCCCATCTTCCCTGTTTCTTTCTTAACATTTTTTTCCTCCTCCCTCCTTTCTTTCAGAGAAAAACAAACACCTATTAAACTTATCTGCATTCAGTTTTTCTCTCCTTTTCCTTTCGTTTTCTCTTCTCCTTCTATTCCACTAGGAACACAAGCCAAATAGCAAGCATTTATACAGCTGATAAGGCCCTGGTGTGAGAGCATTTGGTACTGTGGGACAACCAGGTACCGGTTGGAAATGAATTTGGGGCACGTGGCATGTGAGAACGTAAGCTCTGTTCCTCTGTACCCTGGGCAGAGGCAGTGGGAACTGAGATGGTTTACAGGGAAATGACACCGTGTGTGCTGAGTGACAGGTCAAAAGACCTCCGTGACCCAAGGGTTCTGAACTCTCTGCCCTTCATTGGCCTTTACATTAAAAATAGAAATTATATTTGGAAAAATAACAGAGTACGGCACTCGTCATTACTGCCTTGGTGGAGTATTTTAAAACCCACTGAAGTGTAATATGTATGTGAATGCTTTCAAAAGTAGCATTATTGTTTATTTTTAGGGACAAATGTTTCAATCAGTGTAAACATTGGATTTGCAGCTTCTATAAAATGAGCTGATAGTATTAGATGACCTCTAATGAGCTCATCTCATTCAGCTCTTAAATTCAGTTCTTCCTAGACAGTTCTTGGCAAATAAAGAGGCCCTAACAATATTTGCAAAGATAGGCGGATCCCAGACCAACTGATGACTGTCAATTGCCCCCCCCCCTTACCCACTGTAACTTCCCTTCCATTTCACGTTGGCACCACCGCCCTCTCCTGGCCAGCAGCGGTATTACGGTGCAATCAGAAATGGGCCCGTTTCTCCTGGATTCTCCCCAACCCCTGAGCTGGTTCCTGGGGACCCATCTTTGGCCTTCAACCACTGACTGCTTGTCTTTCCTCCTCCTCTCCTCTCTACCCTGCTCCCTCTCTCCATCTGCCCCTGCAGCACTGCCAGTAACTCAAACCGCAGCACGCCGGCCTGCTCCCCCATCCTCCGGAAGCGGTCTCGCTCGCCAACCCCACAGAACCCCGACGGAGACGCCATGGTGGAGAAGGGCTCAGATCACTCCTCGGACAAGTCCCCGTCCACACCCGAGCAGGGTGTGCAACGCAGCTGCTCCTCACAGTCGGGCCGCAGTGGTGGCAAAAATTCCAAGGTGAGCTGGAGCCAGGGACTCTGTGTTAGAGCTAGCTGGCTGCAGGGAAGCAGGCGGTGTGGGGGGCTGTGAGAGAAGAACCCCTTCGTCCAGGGACCAGCCCTAGTGTCCCACAGCTAGTCTTTTATCATGGGGCCTGGGAGGTGAGCAGGAGAGAAGATTAAAATTTTTCGCCTAGTTAAACGTTACCGTCTTGGCTACACACCCTGAGAACCCCTGGGCAGTGTAAAATGATGCAGGGACCTTTGTGTCTCTCTGCAGAACTAGGGAGCCTCACCTATGGACCTTAGAAGAGGGATGTTCTGGGGATCCGTAGGGGGTCATTCCTTTAGTCCTGACACTTTTCTCAAATTTGGGGTAGAAAGCAACATTATTTGGGACAACTACCATACCAGGAAGAGTCTTCAGGGAATTTTCCACCATGCTGCTTTAGCCTCAGACCTGGCCATCAGCTTAGCTTTGGTTCTAACCCCATGGTACTCATCCGGCCAAGAGGACAGCGACGGGGCCTGGCCATCCTTCCCAAGTGTGTCTGCACACGTCCCCTGTCAGCCCTTTGGGACAGCCCTAGAGGTTGCCTCTACGAGCTTCCCTTCCCTGCTGGACTCATGAGGCTGGGAGGGGGAGGGCTGGACTGGTGGGGGACCCTGTGTCCCACCTGAATTTGTCTTTTTGATTTCTTGTTCTTCCTCTTCTTCCCCACCGTTTCCCAAATACTTCTTTGCATGCATGGTCTTAGTCTCACAAGCGCCTCTCAAAAGTAAGCCATCTTTTGTCTTTGGTCTTCCCTCAGTGTTGACTTGTCTGCAGTGCTCTGCCCCCCCTTCCCCAGCCCCCGGCCCCCCCCGCCCCTCTGGCCCCTGTCCTGCTTGGCCCCTTTCCCAGGGGGCCGACCTTCGCACTGCCCCCGGCAGGCTGGCTTGAAGTCACCGAGGGACCATTCCCACTGCAGTCTGAGGACAGACGTGCCCCTCTGCTCCACCCCCATGTCTCTGCCTGCTCCCCGAACTCCCTCAGGCTGGGAATCTATTCCCTCCTACAAGGTGCCTTCTAGAAGCAGTGCCCTGCCAGGGGTTCCTTTCATTCCTTTGGAGAAGGAGGCCCCAACAGGTCTGGCTGCATGTCTTGATACCCTCTTACACCTGCTTTAGTGGGTGATTCCTGGTTTCCCAGTGAACTGACCGGGGTTATAAATCCCTTTGAGTTGAGCTTTCTGTTGTAGAGTGGCCGCAGGCGCTCTACTTGGCCTCGCCTGGAGCAGCTATGACTGGGCACCCCTTACTGCTTCACCCCTATCCAACCCTGGGGAGGGTGCTCCTGGTTCTTAGAATCCTGGATAGGGATCAGTGGGACATGTTCTCCCAGAGGCATGATGCGCCAGCACTCCACTAGAGGGGTATGTGGACAGTAACCCCTGCCGGGCCCTGCAGAGATGCGGCCAGGTCAGGGAGGCAGTGCACATCTGCCCCCAGGACTTCAGATGTCTGAGGACCGTCTGCAGAAAGCTGAGAGTGAGCAATAGGGATTGTAGACCAGCAAGGCTCAGGAAATAATACCCACGGGGATGGGGGTGGATGTAGCCTGAAGAAGAGAAAGCTGAGGGATGACTTAATAATAGTCTCAGGCTTCTAAGTGTTTGGAGGAGGAGGAGGGTGAACAGCTGTTCTCTTTCCTGAGGGAAGAACCTGAGGCTCTAGGGCTAATTCTCTAGTCTGTGACCTTCAGGCTCAGAGATTTTGAGCCACTGTTTCTGGCTGTTGAGGAAGCCACAGGAATCCTTTGTGGCTTGAGGTCCTTGGTGGGTGCAGGCAGGCCTGGAGTGGAAGGTTTGAGAGGACCCTGCCAGGCCTCCTGAGCCCCTCACACACCTCTGGCTGGAGGCGGGGTCTTGAGGTGAGTTCTCTCTGCTTCTGCCATGGTCTGGAATGCTTTTGTACTGGAAGGCAAAGCTCTCGGCTTCCCTCACCTTCTTACCCAGGTCCTGCGAGGCTTTCAGTGGGAGAGCAGTAGAGTTCTGATTGCACAAATGCAACGGGGCTTCCTCATTCCCTGTCTGGCAACCCGCTCCTAGAGAAGGTGACCTCACATTTTTATCAGCCAGAGAGCGACGGTGGTCAGGGCTCCCACACTTTCAGTCTCCTCTTCTCTGGGCCTTTTCCTCATATGTTCATTTGTAGCGACTGGTCTAGGTGACCTTAGATCCCTCTCCTGTGCACCTGTAGCAGGAGCTTTGGGCTGGGGGGGGGGGGGAGGGAGAGGCTTGTTTCCACTTCCCAGGAGCCCTTGAGCTGAAGGCACCCAACTTCCATGCTGCATTGATGGCATATGGCCACCAGAGGGAGCCAGTAGCTATTTCCTGTCCCACCAGCTCCTCATTTACCAGGGCCTCACTTACCAGGGCCTCACCTATCAGGGCCTCTGCGCCCACACCCGATCTGCTCAGGCAGAGACCCTTGGCTCTGCGGCTCTGACTTCCCTTTCCCCTAGACATGTCCCATTTTCCAATCCTAATATGTGTGGTTTTCTTTCCAGTACGACAGACTAAAGCTGATCATAGTAAGAAGTTGCTTTTTACACCTACTTCATGTGGACTCCTCTCAGCCCCTCCTCTGCCCACCTTTCCCTCTCCCAAAACCCCTTGCACTGGGAGATGTTTTTAGGAGACTTGGGTCTGTTTCCAGGGGCCTTGCCTTCCTTTAGGTGCTCGCTCTTCACACCTCTTCTGGCAGCCAATAGAAGCCTGTTCTGCTTCAGTCCCTGCCCCTATAGGTCCGCCTTTGGGGTGGTTTTCCTCCAAAATCTCCTAAACCAAATCCATTTATAACTTCTCAGCAAACCCTGCAGTCCCATGCCCTAGTTCTGTTCTTTCCTTGCTGCTGGGTCTCTTCACAGAAGGGGTGTTTCAGCATAGGGTAGCTTTGCTCCCACGGAGGCCAGCCGTGGCCCTCTGGCTCCCCTGTGCTCCTGAGTGGGGCTCTTACTGTCAGGCAGCTCCTTCAGGACTCACTCAAGGGGATGCAGAGCCATGAGGGTCAGATTTACCTCTAAGACACCAGGCAGAGTTCTGGACTCACACCCACAGTAGTTAATTTACAGCCCTGTGGATTTGGCTGGAGGGCATGGCCCTGCCTGAGACAGCTGGTTAGGGGTAGAGTCCCACACTGAGGCACAGCAGTCTCGGCCCCTGATGGTGTACTTCACATCTCCTTTCAGTCCTTGACGATATTCTGGTCTGCCATTTACAGACACACCAACCTGTCACTAAGCTAGTTGGAGACAGTGGTGGAGGAGGAGGGGTTCCCTGGTTGGGGCTCTCTATAGTGGGGAATCGCTTTGCCCCAGATTCAGAAAGGACGAGCACACGTGTCCGTACATGGCACTGGTGTTTGCTGGAGGCAGGTGGTAGGGGTCACTCTGCAGAGCAATCATGGTGGCTTGTGGGTTCCCCCTCCAGCCCACCTTGTTATTGCTGCCTCCTGCACCTGACATGCAGGCCAAAGGGGCGAGCAGCATGGGGCCGGGGACAGTTTTCTCGGCTGTGAAGCAGGTGTCCTGGCTTGGGTTTCTTGACATGTGGGTAGCCCTGGGTTAGTTAGGGCTGGCAGGCCCCGGAGCACCCACCCTTGGGCTCTGTGCTCTCCAAGTCAGGACCCACTATGGAAGCCATCCCATGTGCTGATGAGGGCAGCCTCCTGGCCCCACCCACTCACCTGCAGATGTGGGGAGCCTTAACATACAGACATGCACACGGGCTTGTCGGTCCTGGGTGCAGGATTCCCACACACAGTTGCTCTGTGCTGTTCATCACAGCAGTGAAACTGTTGGCTTTGAGTATTTGGATGGAGCTCCTTTAACTACTAAGACCTCTCAGTTGGAGAAGAAGAGGCTGTGGTGGGATTATGTGACTTCTGGTTGGTAACAAGCTTGCTACAAATTGATCCAGGGTCTTGCAGAGGGACATGGAGAACCTGCCTTGTCAGGTTCTCCCCCCACCCCCTCTCCCAGCTGTATTCTGGCCAGTAAGATTGGGTGTGAGGTGACTCGAACCCCCTCCCTCCCATGCTGGCTCCCCTCTTTCCACACCTTTCCCCTTGGCTGAAAGGTTGGAGGTCTGCAGGTGAGCAGTCTTTCCTCCCCATCGGCACCTGCTCTCCATCCTGCCCACTTCCCTCCTGAGTTGAGGCCCTGAGCCCACTTGCTGGGTACAGTCCGCTAACGAGCACAAGAACCAGCCCTCTGCTGCAGGTTGGTGCTGACCTGCAGGCAGTTTCCTTCTACCCAGTGGATCCACCGACTTACTGACACCCTTGACAGTGCTTCAAACAGGAAATGCCCAGCCCCAGTCTAGGCCTGTTGGATCAGCACCTCAGGGGATAAGGACTAGGCAGGAACGAGAGAGAGAATGTGGGTGCGGACGTGTATACTTGCAAGAGGGCTTGTCTAGCTTCCATGTGCCATATGCCTAAGGAACTCCTGGTCGCAGAGATCAGTCTTAGCTCTCCCTGTCCCCCCGAAATGTCTTCAGTTGCCATGAAGATGCGCCACCTCAGCCCAGGGCTGCGAATGCAGGATCCTGGGGCCGGGTGGATCCGCTGCTGAGGCCAGCAGGTAGCAGGCAGGGTCTGCAGCAGAAGCAGTCAACCTCTGCCCCTCACACTGAGCTCAGCAGGCATCAGACCGCTGTTGGGCACGAGGAGGGGTTTACTTGCCTACTGGCTGAGCGCACAGGTGGAGGGAGTCTCGGGGCCAGGCCTATCTTCCCCTCCACCGAAGTTCCTGTCCTGCCTTCTACAGGGGGATGGGCGTGGAAGGGGAGGCTCGCTCATCTCCACGCCCTCGCTTCTAGTCAGGGCCCATTGGGGACTGGGGCTTGGATGCCTGCAGTGCATCCTCACCCCATCAGAAGAACTTGTGATGGGGCTCCGTCCCACTCCCTCCAGTGGAGCCGTAGCCGGGGCTGTGCTGCCTGCCACCCGACCCACTGACCGACCGCGGGGGGCTTGCAGCATGGGCTGCTCCCCGGGCCTCCTTTCTGGATCTGTCTTGAGAAAGGAGGACCCCTCCTGAGCAGCAAGGTGGGGAGCATTAGCTGCGTTTGGATTCCTCCCTGCCCGCCCTCTGCTGTCTGTGTCACTCCCCTCTGGAGCCAAGAACATTCTGGCCCTCCCCATCAGCTCGTCCCTGACTAATTTTACCTTCTTTTTTTATTTTGTTCTTGCAGAAAAGCCAGAGTTGGTATAATGTAAGTATCCCTGTTTCTCTTCTTGCTGGGTAGCTGGGTGGGGAAAAGGAAGTGGGTTGGGGTGGGGAGAGCGGTGAAGAGGAATTTGGTTCCTTTGTGGGCCTGAGCAGATGGAGACAGCACTTTCCCCCCAAGTCCAGAGCAGTGCTTTCCCTCTGGTGAGGGAGAGTTTGATCAGGGAGACCGGGCCCAGTTTTTCTTCCCCAAGACATCGGGGCGAGGGTCCTCCAGTTGTGACTGAGGAGACGAGAAGGGGGAGCATCCCAAGGCCAGGCAATCCAGGACTAGGACACCCCTCAGGACTGTGGTTAAGAACAGGTTTCCTTTTCTTAAATAAGACATCTTAGGGAAATGCTGTCATAAAAGTGTCTCCCATTAGGAGGGGGACTGAAACAAAATTGGAGCATGAAACGAAATTGGAGCCAGCCACCCCTACCTAGACACAGTGGTGTGGGATAAACAGCCCCTGCCAGGGCCGCACGGACTTTCCCCATGAGTAGCGGCTGATATCAGCCGCCTGGGCCTGTTGCTTGGACTCTCCCCTCTGGGACAGCCACTGTGGAGACCAGCGCTTCCCAGGCCAGGCCCTGCCAGCCTTCGCTTTCCCGCCATTTCTCACCCTGACTCCAGAGCCCAGGGGGTGCAGTCCTCATCTTCCCTGAGCATCCGGCTCTCCTTTAGGGGGAGAGGTGGGCATGGAGAAGGTGGCTGTTTGTGACAGAGTTGTGGAGGACTCTGGTGAGGGGGTCAGTGTGTGGGGGGAGCCTTGGATCAGAATCACTTGCGAGTGTGCTGGGTGGGTGGGCAGGGTTCCCTCATGGCTCATGATTCCCCAAAGTCAAGCCCTTCCAAGGAGCCCTGTGTGCCCCCCCCACACCCCGCCTGTACCGGTGGGCACTGCGGATTGAGTGCCCACGGGGCTTTTCTGGCAGTTCACCCCAGCCCTCACCTCAGCCTTTTGTTTCCTTTTCCTCGTTTTTCCTTTCTCTGAACCTCCCTTTCCTCTCTGGCGCCCTCCACCCCACTCTGTCTTTCCTCTCTGTCTCTGATTTCTCCTCATTGGCTTTCTTATCTCTCCAACTGGACCAAGTTTTACTTTCTCAAACTTCCTGGCTGTTCTCGCATCCTTCCTTTCCCGTTTCTTCTCCCTCACTTGGCACGCAGCAAGGTGACAGGCTAGAGAACGATGCTGCTCCTGGGCTGCAGAGTGGGGTGCTCCTGTGGCCAGCGGGGCACCCAGACGTCGGGTTCAGGTGCCCACAAGTGGGAGACAGTGGAGGGGCAGGCACAGCCTCTGTGGGCTCTGGACAGTCTGTAAACACACATCCGGGCTTTTCCGGCAGCTCACCCTCGATTAAGCCCACCTCTCTCCGTCTCCCGGAATGAATTACAGGAGCACTGATGACTGTCCACTCAGCACAAATCACAGACTCACGAAGGCCAGGGACACAAAGGGAATCTAGGCCGAGTGTGTCTTGGGATACCCGACTCCCCTCTTCTGGACTCCTGCTCTCACTACTGTTCTTGGGAAGCTCTGAGCTACCAGACATGGGGAGCCATCCACACATGTCTTCTGCTGCTTCCCGACCCGCTGTCCAGGGAGATGCCTCCTTGTGTCCCTCCATGGCCTGGGAGGTTTTTGAGGTGCCCCTTACCTGCTCCCGTTGCTTGACCTGGTTTCAGTTTTCCTTTGGTTGCCTTGGGTGTGGGTTGCCCTATCTTGGGTGGGAGTCAACCTTCCAGAAGGAGATTCTCTTTAGCTCTGCCAGCAATGCCTTTTATCAGCTCTCCCATCACTAGTGGTTCTGCTGCTTGGGGTTCCATCCTTGCCCTGGAAGTTCCTTCAATAGGCGAAACCCAGGGACATTGAGGATCCCCAGCCCATCGTACAGAAACATCTGACAGGTTCAGGGAAGCCCAGTCAGTGAGTCTCCTGGGTCTGGTCTGAGTGGAGGCTCACCCAGCACCTCTCTGCCTGCCCACAGCCTCCTCAGCTGCCTCTCCCTTGTAGAAGAAACAGCATTTTAGTTCTCATTTAGCCAGGGAGGGGCTGTTGGTATAATGACAGGCCACTGTGATCTAAAGCATCAGTCCTTAGGGTGGGGATGGTAGGGGGGAAGGCCAGAGCTAAGGGGCCCATGAGATGTGGGAGCTTCTTTCTCTAGCCAATACTGTTTAAGATCAAAGTGGTGTTTTTTGTTTTTGTTTTTAAGATTTAATTTATGCATACAGAACTGGGGTACAGGCCAGAGGTGCAGGGGCGGTGAAAGGATTCACCAGAGACAGAGTGGGGAGCAGAACAGGTCGACTGACAAAGTACACTGCTGAGGGGAGCAACGGGTGGGTCAGGAGAGGTCTGCCGCACCATGTGGTCACCTCCAGGGCAGGCAGAGATCTAATTCATGCAGAAGTAGGTCTTATTGCTGTGCTTTAGCCCACTGCGCCACCAGGGAGGGCCCTAGATCAAAGTGGTTTTAAGGTCATCGACAGGCACCCCAAGTGCCCCCCAGGGTGTTTGTGTCATCCCCCCTTAGCCTTGCCCCCACTTGACAGTTTTATTCATCAAGGACCCCAGCTTGGAAGGTGCAGCCCCAGTAGACCTGAAATGGAGGCTTAAGCAGAATCAGGGGCCTTGGCTTCACTAATGGCTGCTTTGGGGGTGTGCTTGACACAGTCTGCCCCCTAAAAACACCCCTGCTCTGAGGTAGTACATTTGCATCTGGATGAAGCTCAGGGTGGTAGAAGTCTGGTGCCTCAGGTGAGCAGCGGTACTGTCTGTGTTTACCTACCCCTTTCCTGGGGGCTCCGTCTCCATAGAAACGCAGGGAAGGAGTGTTTCTGAGGTCAGAGGGCAGGAGCCCTGACCCTGGCAGCTGCCAGAGGCTTCATACTGGAGTTAATCAGTGCTGGTTAGGGATGGTGGCTGGCCCTTTGATGCCAGTCCTGTGACATGATAAGCGGGTCTGACTGGCGTAAGGTTGAGAGCAAGATAGCAAAGCATTGTGGGAAAGGAATCCAGGATTTAAGGGTCAGTAAAGAATGTAGCAGTGTCGACAACCAGGAAGCCTGTATGTCTTTCCTGGGGCTGACTGTCCGTCTCCCCTCTTGTAGTTACCTATTAGCTTACTGACTTCCAGAGACCACTCTTGGGATAACCACGCTTAACTTTCTTAAGAGTAGTCCCTTCTCTCCAGAAAAAAACCCCGCTGCCAAGCGCACTCCTTTTTCTGTTACCCTGTCTTTGCCCAGCTGCCCCCCACCATGTCCATAGTCTCCATAGCTCCCAACTGGCTCCTCTTTGACCAGATTTGTTTGGAGAGCAAGGGTGTCCTATGAGGGTCTTAATTGTTTTCATCTTAGGTAAAGCTAATACTCCAACAAAATCCCGCTGTTAACTCCTGGGCTCCTCTACCCCAGCCAACCCCCCCAACCCCATGCCACCTCCCAGCCCCGTTGTATCCAGGGAGGGAGTACCACTTGGTCCCAGCTCCCATTGTTTGCCATAGAGTTAATGTTTAGCTCAGGGCCAATTCTCTCTCCTCTCGGGGTGGAAGCTGTCTACTTGCCCTGCCCTGTCCTGCCCAGCCCTGCCCAGCTCTGCCCTGCCCAGCCTAGCTTAAGTCCAGTCTCTGGAGACAAAGGCTGAGCGCGGAGACTCATCTCCCAGGGGTTATCTCTGCATGTTTCCTGTCTCTACCCCACCTCACAACAGCACACACAGCTCACAACAATGCTCGAGTGTCTCCAGGGAATTGCCGTAACCGTCAGCCCACCTGGTCTGAACATGGCCTGAGAGAGCATCCTGCGGATGATGGAAGGGATTAGGCGTTCCTCTCCTGCTCCACCGCGGAGGGTGGCGCTGACAGTGCCCAGGAGCAGAGAGACTCAGATGTGTGTGGAGGGCAGAGTGTTGGCCGGGACTGGGCCCCTCAGAAACCATGGCCCTAGAACTGGGGACCTGTGGGGGTGTGTACACCTCAGAGCTGCCTGAAAAGGAACATTTTGAGAGACAGCTAAGAAATGCATGTGCTGGGTCAGTGAGGTCTTGAGACGCTGATATTTTAAACAATTGCTGCACAGTGCTGGAGGTGAAAGGAGTCAGCACAGTCATCGCTCTGACACATGACAAGTGGAGGCCCTGGCTGGGTCCGGGGTGTGTGCACTGGGGGCTGTAGGATGTGGTGTCATCTCCGGCTTTACCCAGTCTGCTCAACCGGTGTGTCCAAGGCTTTGTGATCTTTGGTTGAGGAGTCAGGAATCCACATTTCCGTGCATTGGCTAGGTCACACTTAAATACACTGGCGTTTGAGTGAGTAAGTCGCTGAGACTCCTAGAACAAAGCACCATTTGTCATCCTGGGCACACTTGTGACCCTTCTGACAAGGTGGACATTGCTGGGGCAGGGGGCGGGGGGTGGGATTTGATGTCACACTTGTTTTGAGCATCTGACTTTTTCTGAGTCTAAATCTTCTCAGCCCCAGTGCTGTCTAATCCATAATCCCTGGCATCCTGTCTGGAGCCCTTCTGGCCCTCAAAACTTCCCCCCACTGCCCCCAGAGCCCAGGTGCCCTGCATTTGCCTGTCTGCTTTTCACCTGGGGCAGGATCTGCTGCCCTTACGTCAAGAATAGGTGAGACCCGGTGAAAGGCCTGAGTGGCTGCCTGGGAGCCTGATCTGCCTGATCCGCCTGCTGCCAGTGCTAAGAGGCAGGACAGGAGGCCTGGAAAGAGAGGAAACAGACCCCAGAGCTGTGGACCTGACCATCGCCAGCCCATCTGCCCAACTTCTCCCCATGGCCGGCCATGATATAGAAGAGATCAGATCGTTGAAATTTCCAAATCTTGTGCTTCTGCTTCTTGTGGGGGGAAACGGTGGGTGGATGGGTCTGTGAGAGGAGAGTGTGTCTCCAAGAAGCCCCAGGCTGTTTGGTTCTCAAATTTCAGATTTCATCAGAACTGCAGTGACCCTGGCACCTCCTCCTCCCCTCCCCCACTGGGAGCTCTGGCCAACTCCTTTCCACTGCAGGAAACATCTGCTGGGGAGGCCAGGCAAGCCGAGCCCTGGGGTTACTGGAGGACGTTGGCCTGTACCATCACCCAGATCCTGTAACTTGAAGCATGTGTAGGGCTCTGGCCCTCGCTGCCCACCCACCCGCCTCCCTCCCTCTTTACCTCCCTCCCACTGCAGGCACTAACAAAGAGAGTTGTTGCTGGTCAGCCAAGAGGAGCATGGTCTGGGGGAGAGGGGTGTGTGAGCAGTGGGGGTGAGAGCAGGCCCTGTTTCCCTAGCCAGGGGTGGCCGTTCGCCTGGGCGCGGGCTGTGAGTCATCGCCATCAGATCCCGCCCAGAGTGATTGCACATTGAACCGGGCTGCCTGATGGAACGGGCCAGACAGAACCAGGAGCTGGGCGCTTGTCCTCTCCGGTCTGCAGAGTGTGAGTAACTAGTGGGGCAGACTCAGTGTGGCTGTGGCGTCATCGTGCAACTTGCCCATCACAGGGCCTGTCGTTCAGAGCCTTCAGCTGTCCACTTGTGTCCTCTGACCTCAGCTGGCCTCTTGGAGTCACCGTCCACCTGGACCCAGGAGGAGGGGCTTCCCCACGTCTCCTCTGGGTCATCCTCAGCTGGAAGGCCAATCACAGTGTGGGAGCCAAGTAGAACAAAGCAGGAGCCAGCCAGAGGCTGGACAGCCTGTCCCAAGAACCATGCTGACCACACCCTCCCACTCGTGAAGTTTTTGAACGGAACAGAACTTCAGGAGAGAGAAGGAGGCTGGGCAGAGCTGCATAGACCCCCTGAGAAGCCCGTGCTCTGTGTGCAGGCCTGGCGAGAACAGCTGTGGGGAGAAGAGGGAACCGGGCTAGAGCCTGGGGAGCAATGGAATCTTTGACCGAATCAGGGGTCCTCTGCACCCTCGGCCTGGAACAAGACAGTCAGCCGTTGCTGTGGTACCTGCAGCAGCTTACGGATGTACCTGCTGGTGCGGAGCTCTATTGCTGTTGTGGATCTGAGGAAATCCCAGCCGTGAGTGTGACCTCATCTCTGTCAGGCCCATGGGACAAGTTCTGTGCACCTTTTGTCATTCCCCTCGTGGCCCTGTACCTGAGGGCTCCAGCATTCACCATCCTTAAGCCAAAGTGCTTTTGGCTATTTAGAAATAGGTGAGCCAGGCCTCACCTTCAGAGGAGACTGCTTTAAGAGCAAGGGGCTGGGAGGGAGAGTCCTGGTCTGTCAGGGGGATGTGTGGCAGGAAGGCTGGCCTGCTCGCCACATCGGCAGCCAGGGAGAATCCCCTTTCATTTGCAAGCCTGGATAAGGAGCCCCTCTGCCCAGAACAGTCCTTGTCCAAAGAGGTGACTTCAGAGTTCAGAGTTGGGTTTGTATCCATCTCTCCCTGGACACAGTCTCATTCCAAAGAGAGGAGCGACTCCCTTGATCTTGCCCTGCTCTGGCCATCGTGGCCACACTCCCAGCACGTCCACCTCTGTAGTTGCTGAATTCCCTTAGGACATAAGAAACAAGGTCGAGGGAGGTGTGGAAATACCCTTAGACATAGGAGGACTTCTGGCTTCAGGTAACTCAGACGTCTGGATGTCTGGTGTCATCTGAAAGGAGTTTGGGGGCCCACGGTGGGCTGATGCTGGGTACTGGAACTTTATTTTAAAGACCTACTGGGGCACAGGAAGGCTAGTAGGGGCCCAGAGTTCATGAACATCTCCCTGTTCTGCTGGAGCCACAAGCTGTTCCCCTCTTGACACAAGGACCCTGAGCTGATACAGAGCATCACTCAGATCCAGAGCCCTAGGGTGCTCTGCCTGGCTGGGGTTTGCCTCTGCCACTTAACTGTAACCATGAGCTGGCAACAGTTGCTTCACCCTTGCCTCAACTGCCTCATACGTAAAATGAGATACTCAAAACAACATTATGGGCAGGTAAAAGGACAGGTGTGAGGAGTGTGTGACCGTGTGGAGCTGGTGAGGACGCCTTCCATTCTGGCTTCACTGTAGCTCCGCATATTAAGTTGGATGAAACCAAGGACTCACAGATGATTGCGTAGCCAAGCTAGGTGTTCACTGTGTTCTGAGAGGCCAGGGGGGCCACTTAGGTGGGCTATCTGCTCAAAATGCGGCTCGGGGGAATAGTTCTGAGGTCTTTTCTAGCCACAGGAGTCATGGATTGGGCTGGCTTCCAGGTATTTACTGCCAGTGACCCTGCTCCTTGGTTCAGACATGAAGCAGGTGATTCATGAATCTGCAGTTCTGCAACATAGCATTATTTGGGGGAAGGTAGCCAGCTGTCCACTATTCCAGGTAGCCCTCTTTAATAGGCCAAAGCAAACACCAACAGTTCTGGTAACCTACAGAGATCTGAAAACATTCCCTCCTCACTCCTCCTCTTCTGCTGTCTTTCTCCCTGTCTCTCTTTCTTTCATTCTCTCCTTTTCAAGAAAATGACCTCAACTAAAGTCAGGCCATTTTTCTCTCCCCCAACTTCCTTGCTCAAAAGCCACCAGCCACCTAGCTCAGGTAGTCTGGAAAAGCTGCCCATGTAGACAGCCTCAGCCTGGGCTTCCCCATGGTTTTGCAGAAAGCCAGAATGTACAGGCCAAAGCTTACTCTGTCATCACCGCAGCTGTTGGCCAGCCAGTTCCCATGGAAGTGGGAGAGAAAGTGCAAGCGGCCAGGACCCAGGTATCACCATAGCCAGGGCCGCGGGTCTGCAGGCCAGACCCTGACAATCGCACGCTAACGGGCCACCTGGGCGGAGGCAGTGCTGTCTGCTGTGGTCCATGTCCTCGGCTTGTGCACTTGTCGGCTTGTTTCACTCCATCCATCATGGGTTTGGAAGATGTAAACTGAGAAAGGGCCGGAGCCCTGTCTGTTTGGCCCGCTCTGGGATTCCAGGCAGTTTGGGAGTGTGAGTTCATTCACCCCGAGGACTCCAAAAGCTCAGTGGGCAGAGCGGTATCTGGAGGCCCAAGTTCTTGTGGGAGGTGAGCACAGGACCAGGGGCTGACCGAGACATCCGCTGCTGACCCGCCGGAGGACCTCGGGCAGGGACTTTTTTTGGCCTTAATTTCCTTGTCTAATGTAAGGGTTGGACCACAGCATCTTGTGATAAATGGGACAGATGATGGTTGAGAGCCTCTAGATGCCAGATGCACTTTTAAATTCACTTCTTTGCTTATTCTTGCAGTAGAATAAGCAAAGAAGTTTCTTTTTTTGAATCTGCATCAAAGTGATTCCCCCCCCCCAGTTTGAAATATTCATTAGCATATAACGTTGTGTTAGTTTAGGTTTTAATTGACTTTTTTGAATCTCAAATTTGACACACAACCACTTCAGTCATCATAGCAACTTTTGAGGGGTGCACTGGGTCCAGCTGGGGTACAGGGGAACTCCCTCAGGCTCTGCTTCACTATTAAGGTGGTGCTGTCTGCTGGCAGAAGGAACAGCTGTGGTGCTGGCATGGTGTGGCCCAAGAAACTCCCTGCAGTGGCCTGTCTCCCTTCCCCTTCTTGGGACATAATCTGGGGCCTGCTCAGTGTCTTCTCATTGTGGACACTAGATCCAAAGCCTTTTGCAGCATCAGATTCTCCCCACTGTGTTTTTCCCACTTTGCCTGAGCCTAGGGTCCATGGCATAACAGAGCATCACCGTCCATGGCATAACAGAGCATCATTATAACATCCAAGCAGGCGCTCCAGCGTCATCCTCCCCAGCCTCAAAGAACCTAGGAGCATCTGCTAACCTGGCCCATTGTCATGCAGGTATTAAGCCCCACTTACAAGCAGAGAAATGAAGACTTCCGAAAGCTCTTTAAGCAACTTCCAGACACGGAACGCCTCATTGTTGGTGAGCTGGGCATCTGGGGGTGAGGGAGGAAGTAAGAGTCTCAAGTCTCAGGGACAGCACTCTAACTTCTTCCCCTAAGTAAGAGCCAACCCTGTTAGTTACCTCTAATGGGGAACAGGGAAAGAGGAAGTTTGGGGCGCTGTGGTTTGGGGCCCAAGGCTGCCTATAGGGAATTTTAACTACCACCCCTCTGTACAGATGACTCAGCCGTAAAGGGGCAGGGTGATTATGGATGAAGAAGGGGCTTTCATTGAATTTCACCGAACTTCTCTACTCTGGCTTTCTTACCCGGCTCTGGCAGCTCATCCACTCTTCTGCCCTAGGCAGTATCGTAGCTCACGTCCTGCACGGTCCCGATCATGAAACACTAGGGTCTCTCCACTAGTTCAGATGCCTCCCGTGCCTAGCCAGTGGTAGGCAGCTGGGCTCCTCTCAGGGGTGGGAGGGTGCCTACGATGTAGCGGGTTGCTGAAAGTGCTTTCTGCCCCTGAGCTGCTTCCCCCCATCCCACTACAGATTATTCATGTGCACTCCAAAGGGACATTCTTCTTCAGGGCCGACTCTACCTCTCTGAAAACTGGATCTGTTTCTACAGCAACATCTTCCGCTGGGAAACTCTGGTAAAGACCTGGGTCTGCTGTTCTCCTGGGCTGTCCCCTGGGCTGTGGCTAAGCAGGCTGTGCACACTTTCTACCTTTGGTTGACACCATGCTTTCCCCAAGCCTTTGCATGATTAACAAAAAGCAGTGTGTTTTGCAGGGTAAGATCTCCCTGTTATATCTGCTGCCATGTTGAATGCATTTGCTTTTGGCAAATGCAGGTATGTTTGGCAGGCATCACTGTAGAAGGTGGCAGGGTAGAGCAAAAGGGTGTTGGCCTTGGGACTCAGAACTGGCATCTACACTTTCTAGGATCTGCAGTTGATAAGCTGTATGATTTTAGAGTAGTCTTTTTTTTTTTTTTTTCTCTTTGCCTCTCTTTCCTCATCTTATAAAATAGAGAAGGATAAACTAAATGACTTTCATGGTCCCATTCAGTGACAGTGGTCTATAAAATGACAGATATTAATGGACCTCTGCACATTCATCAGACTGTAGAAATGGGAAGGAAAGCTCTGGATCAAGAATGAAGATATTCTTGGGCTTTGGATGAGACTCAGTCTCTGTCTCACTGGGTGGACTCAAAATAAGTGACTAAGCCAGATGATGTCTGAGGCAGTCCTTTCCAGGTTTAGAGGTATATAGACTGCTCATATTTCCTCTGTCTGAACTGATGCCATGCGGACATTGTGCCTTAACGCCATTAATGCCTCCTCTTGCTTTTTCTCCATCCACTGTCCCTGTGGGGATGTCAGCTGACCGTCCGTTTGAAAGACATTTGCTCCATGACTAAGGAAAAAACAGCTCGCCTCATTCCCAATGCCATCCAAGTTTGCACTGACTCTGAAAAGGTAAGGGGAGTCTCATTTGGATTTTCTACACCTCCTCCTGCCTTCACCCCACCCCTAGTCTGAGTTGCATATCTTTGCTCTTCAGTTGCATTAATATGGATGCCAATAGGATTGGGGTGAGAGTTGCTAAGGTGATGCAGATTATAGGATCCACCTCCATGTGGGGCAGACTGCTTCGAGTCTGAATAGAGGTGGGTGGAGTAGAGAATATTGAAGTTGGAGCCAGTGACCTGACTTCTGGCAAGTTCCGTAACTATCCTGAACCTCAGTTTTCTCACATGTAAAATGGGACCAGCAATACCTGTTTCACCGAGTCTTACAATGGCATGACACGTTTGAAAACACTCAGTTGTAAAGCACTCTCTATACAAATGCTAGTTTTTCTCATCACCTGTCAGTATCAGTATAACTGCCTGTATGTCATTTGGAATGAAGGCTCTGATGGGAAATGGACCATCCATATCGATATGGGAAGAATATGATGAATAAAATTTAAGGTTGACTATAAACACTGTATTATTTGACTTTAACCCAATCCTGAAGACTAGTAGCTTCAGGACTTAGGATGAGCTAGGTTCCTGCTGAACCCCAAGGTCTACAGTTCCCGTGAACTTGGCAGTTCAGTTTCAGGAGCCATGAAACTCTGGAGTCAGACAGTCTTTGATTTGAATTCTGTGCCTGGCACAAGTCAGCTATATGATTATACAATTTCACCTGCCTGTTTCTCTTTATTTGGTATCACATCATGTTTTATGTTGTTATTTTATGTTTGTGTGACTTAAGTGAAGCCACATTTGGGAAGCCCCTGAAATGTGTTCAGTAAAATCCAGTCTACCAATATTTTCCACAGCATGTTAAAAAGAGTCCCCACCAATGTAGGGTAGGGGCCTCTTTCTGTTTGGTCTGTAAGCATGTAGGATAGTGCCTAGCACGTACTAATACTCAGGTATGTGCTGAGTAAATTAATGGGACAGTCAGGGTTAGTTGGGTTTGTCTTCTCCTTCCCTATTGGCCGAGTCACAGCTCACCACTTCCCAGTAGGTAGTGAGGGAAGGAAGTGCTTTATGGAGATGAAACCTTCAAGCCAGAGTGAGAAGCACTGAGGCAGGTGTGTGGGGAAAGTGAAGGACTCTGAGACAGTGAGACCTTAGAGGTCCCAGCTGTGGCCCAGGGTGTGCAGTCCCCATTGCTGGGCCCCCAGGGCCACATAGATAACTGCAACTCAGTAGTATTTAAGGGTGAGATCAGTGACTTTGTTAAAGGAAGGAGCACTGTGTTCCCCTTATATTGGAAAACTCCATAGACATTTCTTGCCATTCTTCTCTTCCAATATAGCACTTTTTCACTTCATTTGGGGCGCGGGACAGGACGTACATGATGATGTTCCGGCTCTGGCAGAATGCTCTCCTTGAAAAGGTAAGTTCTGTCCACCTGGAATGTTCTTTCCTCTCGGGAGTGGGCCTCCCAGGAAGCGTGCTCTTACTGTGGCATGGGCCGGCTGCATAGAAACCCAGTTTTTTTTGTTTTTTTTTTAAAGATTTATTTAGTCATACAGAACTGGGGTACAGGCCAGAGATGCGGAGGGTGATAGGATTCACCAGAGACAGAGTAGGGAGCAGAACAGGTTGACTGAGAAGTACACTGCTGAGGGGAGCAGCGGGCAGGTCAGGAGAGGTCTGCCACGCCATGTGGTCACCTCCGGGGCAGGCAGGGATCAAACTCACGTGGAAGTGGCTTTAGTTTCTTAGTGCTGTGCTTTAACCCACTGTGCCACCAGGGCGGGCCCTAGAAGCCCAGTTTTCCTCGTGGTTCTGGAAACCCCCAGACTGTGGTGAGCAGTGTATTCTTCCACTGCTGTTACTGTCCTGGGCCTGAAAGTAATATTTCTTCGTTGCTGCCTGGAGCAAGGCACTGGTTGGCTTCTGATGTTCAGTCCCACTGTATTAAAAAGCCACCAGGACTTGTTTTAATCAGATACAGTAAGATACAGACATGGAATGGTAACCACACAGCAAGAAGATTTTGTGCTTGTAGGTCCCTGGAGACAGAGCAAGCACCCATGCAGGGCTCCAGGGGGAGCAGCAGTGTGAGATAGAAGGCAGAGAAAGGAGGGAGACCGTAGGCAAGCACCTTTATTCAGCTACCAGTTAATACTTGAATGTCTAGAGAATACCATGAGGTGACATAGATGGTGATGTTGTGGTCGCAGTCCTTAGAGAACCCCCACTCAGTACCCTGAGGTGTTTAGAAAGAGCACTCAAGCCAGAGGAAGAGAAATAAGTTAAAAACCTTATTGTGTGTGTGTGTGTGTGTGTGTGTCATCTGTGTTTTGACCAAACTGAAATCCTGGTAACTGATGCAAGCTGAAATCCCCTGGCGTTATTAGCCACCAGTCACGATAAAATGATACTGTGATTGAGATCCACTGGCAGCTTGGAATGTCCATTAGCAGCTGCTTACTTAGAAACTGTCATTGCTAAGTCAGACAGAGAGATCATCTATGTGGTTCACAAATGCTCTCTTGGACTCACTGTAAGAGTTCAGAACAGAGTCTGCTAATCATGCTTGTCCTCACTATGGTCAGACAAGCTGACCAAGCATTGGTCAGGGAAGGCTGCATGGAAGAGGTGAGTTGTGAAGGAAGGGAGCCAGGGATTGGCAGAGAAGCGGAAGTGTCCCGGGCCAGGTGAGAGGTAGGTCAGAGGTCGGAGCAAGGAAAGCCACATACGGAGAAGGGTGTGCCCTGCTCTGCCTCAGTGAGCCCTGACTCTGCCCTTCGGGGTTGTTCTCCTTAGAGGGGAAGCTGGAACCCTGGCTCCTAGCATCAGCTTCTGACACTGTAGCCTGAAAGCACTCAGGCCCTTTTTCCAATCTATTACTGGGAAACATTCTTTCAGTTTGATTTTAAAAACTGGAACGAATGGGTAGAACTGGAGGCAAGTAGATTCTGCATAAAAGTAAAGGAAAAAGTTCTTATTCAGGAAGTCTCTAGAGAGGGTAAGCTGAGATGCCTTTGAGGCATGAGAACTTCAGCTGCTTCTAGCCACTGTCCAGCTGTGGAACGGCCGCCGTGTGGACATGAGTCAGCAGGGCCCGCCTCTGTTAGCAGAAGTTGTTTTCTGCGGCATGTGGGGAACTGGCTCCAGGACCTCTGACACTCGCTTCGAGTCCAAACCAGGAGCTCTGTGGCCACCTCGGCCCCATGGTAGCGTGGGTTTATGGCGCTTCATGCTGGACCTCATCCATAGGAGCAAGAGTTTGCGTCCTCAAGGGGTCAGTTGGACCCATTATGCCAACCTGAGTGGAGGGCACAGGCCAACCTTCTGGCTTTGCTAAAAGCCATGTTCTTAGGCAGAAGGCTGCTGCTTGCCTTGAAACCTGAGAGGAGGGAGGCAGGGGAGGCAGATGAAGTGGCCATGAGGCACTGCGCTTTGCTTAGTTTAGCCAGGGAGAGTGGAGGAGTTTGGCTTCTCCACCCCTTGAGGGAGACCGGCCCAGCTCACTGCCTGTGTGTCAAGTGGGGCCCCAAGGGAGGAAGGGTCAGAGTTGCTCTGTTGTCTCCTGTAGCCCCTGTGCCCCAAGGAGCTCTGGCACTTTGTTCACCAGTGCTACGGGAACGAGCTGGGCCTGACCAGTGACGACGAAGACTACGTGCCACCCGATGACGACTTCAACACGATGGGGTGAGTGAGGTAGAGGTCAGGCTGCCCAGGCAGCCTCTCTGAGAGGGTCTAGGATGGCAGTGAAGGCTTCCCTGAGGAGTGCCATCTAACTGAAGGGTTGAGGGCGGAAACCAGGAAGGGAGGGACCTTCAGTCAAGGGAACACGGCTGGGCCATATGAACAAAAGGCAGGTAGCAGGAGGGGAGAAAGTTGGGTCGGGCTCCAGATTCTGAAAGCTTTTGCCAACATGATGATGACGGTGAGACACTGGTGGGAAAGCTTTGGGTAGGTGATTGATAATATCTGACTTAATATTTTAGAAATATTTTGAAAGATTTGGTGATGGATCAGGAAAGAACCAGTGGCTTCTTTAAGGCTTTCTTGAATTTGCCAACTAGAAAGTTACAGTTGTTCCAAACTGAGATGATCCATGCTGTAGGTCAAGTGGGGTTTGAGGTGACTCACTCAGTGGAGATGTGATCAGGTACATCTGTGTCTATGAGGGTGGAGTTTACAAGAGATATCGGGGGCAGGGAGCATGAATTTGGGGGTTACTGGTAGGTAGCCATGAGATTAACTGAAATCACCAAGTACCTAAATGAACATAAGACGTTCAAGGCCTGGGCCTCACCAGGCTCACCAAGGAGAAGAAGCAGGGAAAGAAATAATAAAGCCCATTCAGCATGTAATCATGTGACCAAGGGGTACCCAGGACTCCAAACTATTAAGGAGTGTGTGTTTTAAAAGCATTTGGCCATCTGCACAAGGTGAACAGGCTCTTCGTATGAAGGAACTTTATTTGGTTACCTAGAGAGTGAAAAAGAAGAGAGCATTTCACATAGCAGCAAACTCTGAAAATTACCCCTCCCCTCATGGGCAAGTACCCAGGCAATAGGCTTGGCCTGAAATGGGGCAACTGAGGCCTGAAAGCTTGCCATAAGCTTTCTGTACCTTCTGGTAAGGGGTTAGGGAGTTCCCAGAGAACTGAGACAGGAAAGAACCAAAATTCAAATTGTATCAGAGACTCTCCCACAGGTGAAGATAGTGACTGCAGAGACTCTCCCACAAGGTGAAGGTAGTGACTGCCATTCCCTACCAAAAACACTGAAGACCCAGGAGCAGTCTCTCACATGTCTCTTCTTCACCTGGCTCTCCTCCAAGTGCCCCTTTCCCTTTATTCTACCTCCATTTTTTTTTTAAATAAAGATTTATTTCATTTATTTATGCCTACACGAATTGGGTAGTGTAGGCCAAAGATGTGGGGGTGGGGTGAGAGGATTCACCAGAGCACAGTGGGGAGAAGAACAGGTGATTGACTGAACTACACTGCTGAGGGGAGCAGCAGGTGAGACAGGAGAGGTCTGCCGCGCCATGTGAGTCAGCTCCCTGGGTGGGGATCGAACTTGTGCCACAGTGGCTGCAGATAGTTTCATAAGTCCTGAGCCTTAATCTCTTGTGCCATGGGGAGGCCATCCACCTCCATTTTTATGCTCACCTTGCTCCTGCCAGCTGCCCCCATTCAGGAGGTCTGGTTCATGGCATACTGGGCACTTTAATCCAAGGTGGCTGCATGGAAGTGGGAGCATGGAAAATGGCACCGGGTCACTGTGCTGTGGCTCCTCCTGCAATTGACAGATATGCATTCTATAACAAGTGAGGAGGAAGGAACGCTAGGGGAGTTTTGTTTCCTGCAAGCCAAGAGAAGGAAGTATGAAGGAGAAGCAAGTATCACTGAGTCACATGCCACTGCCAGGTTAAGGTGGGAACACGCTCCCCTTACCTGCCAGTGACTATGCAGGCCTAGGCCTCTCTTTTACTTTTCCCTTTTCCTAATAAGCCTGTCCTTTGAAAATAGAAAGAAAAGACCCAAATTGCTGTCAGCATCTTGAGACTGGGAAAGTAGTGGAGGGGTGGTGGTGTGAGAGGCACAAGGGACTAGAAATGAAGGAAAGACCACTGAGTGTGTAATCTGAGGACCTGGGCTTCGCTACATCTCCTGACACTTGATAGTAGCATCATGTTACCTCTGGGAATATCTGTCTGATGATCTCTAAAGAGGCTGAAATGATATATTCATTGTTCATGGACCAGATGAGGCATGATATATGTCCATTGTTCATGGACCAGATGAGGCAGTATGTAGCGTATGAGTCAGATATGGGTGACGACTTGGGTGACTTCTTCTGTGATGCCAGTGACATCCCTGAGGTGTCCCTAGCAACGCGGCTCTTTTATCTCGAGGATAAAGGTCCAGGTCCCGCAGGTGCACAGGCACAGGAATGAACTGGTCATGATCCAGAAGCTAGGCAGTGCCCCCAGGGGACACTCATGTCCAGAGTCCTATTTTAGTCACTGTGTGAGAAATAGACTACCGTGAGATACAGACTGCGTGTTCCACACCCGTATGTTTGTTTGGGTCGTCGTGTTGGAAAATGTAACGATGGAAAAAGGCAGTCTTGGCAAATAATGGCTGAATTTAGGTAGGGATGACTCTAAGAAAAGGTGCCCATAAAGGTGAGTTTAGAGCCTGAAATTGGACATGGAGCGGTAGGGTAAGGTGGGAAGCAGGTTTCAGGGAGGTGATTAGATGATCACATACAAAGCAAGGAAGAAAGCCATGCTTTGGGTGGGTAGACAGTTCTCAGTACTGAGAATAGCCGCTGACCTGGGCTGCGAGGTTGCTAACATGCTTGTGATGTTTTCTTTCAGCTACTGCGAGGAGATCCCCGTAGAAGAGAATGAAGTGAATGACAGCTCATCCAAAAGCAGTATAGAGACCAAGCCGGATGCCAGTCCACAGCTGCCCAAGAAATCTATCACCAACAGCACCCTCACCTCCACGGGGAGCAGCGAAGCCCCTGTCTCGGTACGACAGTATGCCCTTTGTTGCCACCCCCAGTGCAGCCAACTCTGGGGTCCCACCTGCAGAGCGAGTGGCGGGAGGTCGATAACACTGTCAGTCCGTCATGGAGGCCTCCTGCTCCATTCTCGTGGTGTCATCCCAGTGTCCAGAGCTGGTTCTTGGTGCCTTGGGCACCAGAGTTTGGCTTCTGCGCAGAGAAAAACCATTCCAAGTCCGCTGAGTGACTTTGGTGGGCGACTTCAGAGCAGCCCTTCGAGTGAGAACTGGCCCCCCCGGTCTTTCTCTGCCTTGCTCCAAAGTCACTCCTGTGTGACTGTCGGGCTGCAGAACAGCTACCTCTGCATTCATGCGCTCAATCCCTAGTCTGTATGCTCCGATTTTTTCCCCTATGATGCTTGACTTTGCAGAAGAGATAAAAGTGTGAGAAGGACCTCTGTCCTTTGGGTCTCAGTTACAGAGGGGGTCACTGTTCAATGGAGGCAGCATGTCAGTGAACATCCAGGTGAGGGATGGGCGGCATCCTCGGAAAAGGCTCCCAGGAAGAGGAGCCTTGCATTCCAGAGCCAGAGGGGCCAGACCTTATGGTGAACGCACCATGTGATGCCTGCGCTCTGTTTCTGCCTCTGAGGTTATCTTTCAAATGTGAAGAATGACATTTCTTCCCCATCAGGGCTGATGGGACAATGCTGATGAAGTCTTTTGAAATTGCCAGGCAGTACAGTCACAACTCCACATCAACAGCAGTGACAAGGCACGGACTGGCCCTCCTGGGGCTTGATGTGCTATTTAGCAAGCGCTTGAGAAGGGCAGAACCCAAACCATGCTCTGTCATCTTCTTGGCAGAGCTGGGAGGAGCCCCCAGACCCTGTCTCCAGCCTACTTGGAGCACCCATGTAGGGAATGTGAGGGCCCCTGATGTCCTTTGGATAGCAGGCCCAGGCAGAGAGGCCACCCAGTGGAGTGACAGCTCTATGTCCCCTGCAGTTTGATGGACTGCCCCTGGAGGAGGTCCTGGGGGGCGATGGGTCGCTGGAGAAGGAGCTCACCATCGACAACATCATTGGGGAGAAAATTGAGGTCCTTGCACCGGTGGCCTCCCCCTCTCTGGACTTCAATGACAATGAGGACATCCCCACCGAACTTAGCGACTCTTCCGATACCCATGATGAAGGTGGGTATTCAAAAATGGGTGCTGGGTGGCCATTCTGAAGGCTTATGGAGACTGGAGTCAGTCTCTAGCCTCCCAGTGGAAGAGTAGATGAGTAATGGCTTTTCTTAAGGGGTGATGCATCTCTTTTGGGGATCCTCATCATTTCATATTGGTTCTTTTTTTGCATAGAAGAATTGAGGTGTAGGCTAGAGGTGCAGGGGGCTGAGAGGATTGACCAGAGACAGACTGGGGAGCAGAACAGGCAGATCTACGGAAATACACTGCTGAGGGGAGCAGCGGGGAGACAGGAGAGGTCGTCTGTGCGTGTGGGTCAGCTCCCTGGCTGGGGATCAGACTCAGACTGTAGTGTTTCTAGGCTGAGACTTAAGCCCTAGGCCACCAGGGAGTTCCCCCCATTTGGTCTCTCTTTGCTAGACCGATGATGCTTTGTCCTGCCATCCATTCTTCTCACTACATATACCCGCTGTGGGCACTGGCTTGTCCTGCTGCCTCCCTCACTTAGAAAAAGAGCCAGGAGATATTTATCTGCCACTAGGGAAGTGCCAGTCTGCTGCTCCCTAGAAATGGAGTACCCACTCTGTGAGAATAGGCGCTGGCCCATAGGCGCTGCTCCTGAGTTTTTCCCTGGCCTTCTCAGGGTCACCGGGCAAACAGAGATGGCATCCTCTTGAACTCACATCAGTGACTGCACATGCAGTAATCAGAGACTGTGACATACCAGGGGGTGGGGAGGACCACTGTAGCCTGAGTGACTTACCCATTCCCTCAGACACATTTCTCCCGTAGCAGACAGAAAATTCAAGGTTCTTGAAATCATGGGAGAATAGGCTACCTTGTGGAAGGAGAATAGACCTTGTATAGTTAGAGATCAAAGCCCTGCAATTCAGCCCAACCTTAGAGGCTTTTATATAATCATTCCAACTTAATGTCCCTTGAACACAACTATGGCATGGAGTCCAGGACCTTTTTGTTGTCAGTTATGGTTAACTTGGAGATGCTTGATAACTGATGGCGAAAACTCAGGAAGCGGTCATTTACACTTTAGTCTGAAGTTATCTTATTGAGGATGATTGAAAATATAAAAGCAAATAGAATCCTCAGTTCTGCAAAGGCTGGATGAATACATTCCCAATGTGAGTGAGACTGAGCCCCCTGGCCCAGCTGCCCCACTCCATGACCTCCTTTGACCTTTGGTTACCATTCCCACATTTGCCACAGCGCTCAGTGCTTTGGAGAAGTCCCTGGGATCACCTGCCTTAAATATCCCCTGTCTACTTCTCACCCTTTTCTGTGCAGGTGAGGTCCAGGCCTTCTACGAGGACCTGAGTGGCCGGCAGTACGTGAATGAAGTCTTCAACTTCAGCGTGGACAAGCTCTATGACCTTCTGTTCACCGACTCGCCCTTCCAGCGGGACTTCATGGAGCAACGCCGCTTCTCTGGTCTGTTCTTCCCTAGGACTGGTGCTGCCTGTCCCTTGCCTCTTTCTAAGAACGCCCTTCCCAGGGCACCCCATGGTCCAGGAGCCTACCGGCTACTCCTTCCCCCAACAACACAGCTCTATGCTTTCTCACCATAACCAGGCACTCAGTGCCAGGCCCCGAAGGCTGACTGGCCAGCCAGACCTCACAGGATGCACCATCTGGTAAAGAACAGGAACACCTGCTTTATGCCCAGCACACAATGTTATCTCACATTAAACATGAGATTCCACGTTAAATCTGCAGTATTGTGACCCCCAATGCATGAGGAAAATAGAACTCACGCTATTACTGTCTAAGGTCATGCAGGGGCCAAACAGGATTCAAACGCAGGCCTCATGCCTTGCCCCTCTCTGCTCCCCTGTCATCCCCTTGCCTCTCTGCCACATGGCAGGGACTGCACCTTTGGCCGAGCTGCTGAGAGTTGCAGGCTACAAAAAAGCACTTGGACATCAGCTCACCCTTCTGCCAGCAGGAGAGGGCCTGATGTGGGCACCAGGAGGTCACGCCTCAGAGGAGAGGACTTCTCTCAGGATCCCAGGCCCCGTCACAGTAGCTCCAGTGTTGCCAGCACCCCCGCAGGTGGCCCCAAGACCTCCTGCCCCAGCCCCGGGAACAATCAGCATTCTGGAGGCCTGTGGAGAATTTCGGCAATGCTACAATGAGCCTTTCTGCTTTCCCTCCCCCTCCTCCTAGCCGCCTCCCCTGGCCCTCAGGCTCCCATTGGCTTCTTTTGGGGGCCAGGCAGCAGTCAGGAGAAGTTCACTTGGTGGGGAAGTTCAGATATGGAGAGGGCAAGCCTTGTTCCCTCCCTCACTGCTGGCTCCTCTCTACCCTCAGACATTATCTTCCACCCCTGGAAGAAGGAAGAGAACGGAAACCAGAGCCGAGTGATTCTCTACACCATCACCCTTACCAACCCCCTGGCTCCCAAAACTGCCACCGTCAGGGAGACACAGGTGAGTGGAAGGCAGAGGTTGGTTTTAGGGGCAGGGGTTGAAGCCTGCTCTGTTGTGGAGGATCAAGGATCGAGGTTGGGAAGAAGTTTCTGGGTGCAGGTGTCATCTCTGAAGCAGTAGAGTCTCACCTAGAGCGTCCCCTTTCAGAAGTGGGGGTTGGGGGAGGAGACGCCATTTCCATCTCGCTCCTCTACAGTTTGTCCCACTGGCTTTTGCTCCACAGACCATGTACAAGGCGAGCCAGGAGAGTGAGTGTTACGTGATCGACGCCGAGGTCCTCACCCACGACGTGCCCTACCACGACTACTTCTACACCATCAATCGCTACACGCTCACCCGTGTGGCCCGGAACAAGAGTCGGCTCAGGTGGGGGCCCCGAGTGTGTTCAGGGGAGCTTCCCTGTTCCTTACGTCAGAACGTTCACTTGCTCGTGCAGGGTGGGGAGGAGGTTGCCTGAATGGACGTGCTGACTCATTCTTTGTTCCACCTTCTTTCCCAAGCCTCTGGGACCCTGCGCCCTACCTCCCTATCCGAACACGTCATTATTCTCCTCACCCCCCCCACCCCCACCCCCTGCCTCCCTATCTGGACATGTCATTATGTCATTATTCTCCCCCTCCCCCACCCTGCCCCCTGTCCCCTGTGCCACCCTGCAGGTCTCTTTAGTAAAACTTCCTTAGCTTTTTTTTCCTTAGCTGCCTACTAATAGTCTGTAATTTACGAAGCACTTTACCTCCATTACCTGGAGTCTGGAGATGGATTCAAGGAAGTGATTCAGCTCATTTTTCAGATAAGAGAAATGAGGCTCACGGGTCTATTGACTTTGCCAAGTGTCATATCCCCAAGTGAGAGCCAACACCCAGTTCTTAGAAGTACAGATCTGTGCTCTTGCATGAGGCCGCGTCTCTGCCACATCTCTTGCTCATCTTCTGTGAGTCATGGGGCTCTGGAGCCCAGAAATCCCTTCATTCACTTGTTCCTCTCCAGTGCTGAATGGTTGGAATGCTGTCCGTGGGTGGCAGCTTACCCTGCACACCGAGATGCGCGCTAGGAAGGGAGAAGCTGAAACCCTGGCATTTGAAGAGCCTGTAGTCTAAGGGAGAAGTCAAGGCTCACAGCCACAGGATCTGAAAACACACTGTGTGCCTGCACCTTAGGTCAAGTTCTTCTGGTTGTGCAGAGCTGGATTTCACATGTGGTTCAAATCTAGATTGAACTAGGAATTGACTCAAGTGGGAATCCAGATTGCATGGGAACATTCTGTCTACCCACACCTCAGATAGACCCTGCATTTTCTCATCCTCACCCTTAGGAATTTTTTTTGTCTCTTTGTTACTCTGTGAATAGCAAGACCCATTCCCTCTCCTTCCTTTCTTGCCCTCCCTTCTCTGGTCTTCTGTTCCCTCCTCTTCCTTCTGTTCTTCCCCCTCCACAGTGTCTAGTGTTTCACCTGCAGCTTCCTTGCAGCACAGACTGGATATCCTTTCTGTCCTGTCCATACAGAGGTAGCTGGTTGACCTCAGCTACATTTTTACAGACAGGTGTATGACCTCTCCCCAGTCTGCCTCTCCCAACTCAGTGCTCGGCAGGGGGGCAAGTGCTCATGCCCAGGAGAGACATGACTCACATCTGGCCATGGTGGAGGCAGACAGGGGAGGCAGCCTAAACACGGGGAATATGAGCCAGAAACATCTATTGACAAGTGAAAATGAATTTGATGAAAGGTGGCCAATTGCAGAGTTGCTGTGGAGTGGGGGACCTATAAGGCAGGACAGTAGAGACACAGCAGTATGGTGGAGAGAATTCCAGAAAAGAGCAAGAGCCAGCAAGGTCTTGAGTCTCCTGGAGAACACAGGGAACCGGTTGGCACAGAGGGTGCTACTGAAGGTGGATGGAGGGCTCAGACACAGAAGCTCCAGAGAAGTAGAGGAGGACCCCAGGACTGGTTGGCCCCACCGGGAGTGCTCTGGGGGAGATGCATGGTCTCCTGGAGGAGTTCTGGGTTTGGGGTCAAGTTCTTGTCAGCCTTTGGTCTGTTTTAGTATCCTAAAACTCAGTTTCTTCATCTATAAAATGAGGACAAATCCACTAGCCTCATCTACCTCAAAGGGTGACCAGGGAGAGCAGATGATACATAGAGTAGGAAATGACGTTCTGACTTGCTAAGAGATGCGAGACTGCTTTGCGGACGGTCTGACCAGGAAGTAACTGATCTTGTTTCTGGCTTGTTCCACAGGGTCTCTACAGAGCTGCGTTATCGGAAACAGCCCTGGGGGTTGGTAAAGTCTTTCATCGAGAAGAACTTCTGGAGTGGGCTGGAGGACTACTTCCGCCATCTAGGTAAGCGCTGCCGTCACTGTCACTGCTGTGGGTTGGACCATAGAAGCTGGCTGGATGGTATAGCACTCACCATGCAGGGCACAGGGAGCATGGACAACAGTGAGAGAGAATGAGACAGGGAAGGGGTCTCAGGGGGTCTTGGACACAAAATTCAGCATGTATGTGAACATGTGGGTTTTTCAAGAGACTGCCTCATTAAGGGGTCTGTGACCACCCCCTCCCCCACATGACCACAGCCACTAGCTCTGTGAATGCATCCATTAGGAAATGAGGAGAGTCCCTAATTGTGTAACCCAGGTACAGGTCACCACACACTGTTGACCAACCCTGATGAAGTGTTTGGGCTGGGCTTGGTGCCAGCAGTACTTCCTGAGGTCCATCTGCACCCCTGAGGGACCCTGGCCCTGCCAGTCATCTTCCCAGAGTAGTGTGGAAAATGGCTCAGTTAGGAGGAGACAGCAGCTTCTGGAAACCAGTGTATTGGTTTGCAAGTCTAGGCCTCTGATGTGTGGCCTTTTGTCTCGGACAGAGAGCGAACTGACCAAAACAGAAAGTACCTACCTGGCTGAGATGCACAGACAGTCTCCGAAAGAGAAGGCCAGCAAGCCTCCAGCGGTGCGGAGGAGGAAGCGTGCCCACGCCCACCTGCGAGTCCCTCACCTGGAAGAGGTGATGAGCCCCGTCACCACACCCACTGATGAAGATGTGGGTCACCGGATTAAGCATGTGGCAGGTGTGTGCCAGGTTGGGGGTGAGGGGGTGCAAGGTGACTAGGGGCTTTGACTGGGGCTGCAGGCCGCAGCCAAGACTCACCCATCCATAGTGCTTTTGCCCCTTGGGTGGTTCCGATCGTAAATGATTGGCACATGACTCACTCAGTATGAGTTTCTACATTCTCTACCCGTTTCCCTTTGCCCTTTAAGAACCTCAACCCCTGTTTTGCCCCTAAGGGTGTGTCCTACTGAACACCTAACCTTCTCCCCTGATGCCTGCACTCCATGGCTACCAGGTTGTTTCAAGTACACAGCTCCCAAGTTCATGGGAGATGCCCTAGGGAGAAGTCAAAACTCAGACTCCAGAGGGCACCTCATAACTCCAAGTCAGGGAATCCAAGGCAGCCTCTCTCGGGCCACAGGCCCACCCGGGATGTGCCCACCAGACAGTGGACTCCCGTGATTGGGGCCTTAGCGATCTGCTGAATCCCGTGTTTTTTCAACTCTGCTGTGCCATTCCTGGGCGAGTTTCAGAGCTTAATGGCAATAGCAGAGGAGGCAGAGACAGAGGAGAGTGCCCAGGGGGTCACTCGCCTGGCTTCCACGAGAACATTCCCCTGCATGTGTTTCAGCAGAGGGTGTTGAACTAACACTGCATTTGAATAATCGACTCGGAGAACTGACGGGTCTTCTGCCACCTCGTAGCCAGTTATGGGTGAAGTCAGAGCTGAGCACACACTCGCTCTGTCCCTTTCCAAGCTGCAGACCACCTGTCCCGCTGTGTGTGTCCTTGCTGCACAGATCTGTTTCCTCCTCTATGGAGTGACTTTCTTGTTCACCTTGCCTAACTCAACCCGTGACTTTGCCCTTGAGGAGCTAAACTTCCACAGTGGGATGGCATGCCAGCACCGTGAACAGTTCATCACTCCCTCAAGTTCCGTGTGTGACTGGGTCACGTTGGCACTTGGTGCATGCATGGGCCATGCTGATGAAGACCTCTTTATTGTCCCCACAGGTTCCACGCAGACACGGCATATCCCTGAGGACACCCCCAATGGTTTCCACCTGCAGAGTGTGTCCAAGCTGCTGCTGGTTATCAGCTGTGTGTAAGGAATCCCAGGCTCTCTGCACGCCTGCCCTCACTGCCTTCCCTCCTGCCCTCCAGGTCTCTTCAGGCTTGTGAGGTCTTTACAGCTGCCTGGTTGTTTGTCCTTGTTTTCTTGGTGTTCTAGTCTTCTGTCTCTGCATCGGCTGCTCTGGCTGTCATCTCTTGCCTTTCAGTTTCTTTTTTTCTCAATTTTCTTCAGCATCTAGTTGTGCTAGGCCTTGAGCTTTCAGAAGAGTGTGCTTCTTGAAGCCCCTGTGCCCTCAGGAACTCAGTTTCAAGTGGTTAAGACAGGCAGGACATTCAGAACTGAAGGACGGGATGCATACGTCCATAGGGGTGCTGCAGCGCCTCTCCTGAGGCTTCCTTCTTTCCTGAGGGGCGCACATGTCTGCTCCTGGCCCACATAGAGGCAGTACAGTCAGATGGAACCAGTGCCAGAGAAGCATCTGTTGATTTGATTACAAGTAATTCAGAGTAAGTGCCACAACTTTGTAAAACAGCAGGCTTGATAACGTGTGCAGGAGAGTACTAGGCTGAAGGGAAAGGACGTTGAAAGAAAGCAGGGCTGAGGCAGGAGAGCACAGCTCTCTGAAGCCCCTAGTTAGCTCAAGAAGTCTGTGAACCTTCTGGAGCAGGGAGCTGGAACGCTCACAACAGATGGCTCTTCTGCTTCATTCAGCCCTTGCTGGATGGGACGAGGTGAGAGGCACAGGCCCAGGGGCCTGGGGGGATGGAGTCATCGGGTGCTGACTCTGACTAGGTCAGTCTTGCTCCTGTGATCTCACCTCCCTCCCACTCCCAACCTTCAGGTCTTCAGTAAAGCATTTTTGGGGAGGCAAAAGTTGGGATACAACCTTGCCTTAACCCTCAGGAAACACTGAAGGAAGCCCTGGAGTAACATGTGGACTTGCCTTAAAAAAGAAAAAACTCAGTGCGACTACTGAGGGGTGACTGGGCTAGAGGAGAAAGGACTAGAAACAGGGCAGTGGTGTGGCGGAGATGACTGTCAACTCAGGCGAGAGTTGCTGAGCTGATTGGAGGGAAGGCCTGTCAGCCACCTAGCGCTGGAGCAAAGGGAGAGGAGGTACTGGCCGGAGTGTCCGAGGCAGCCGTGTCATTGAGAGAAATCTGGAGCTTGGGGAGAGGTCACCAGAGGAGATGCTGTGAGTTCCAGAGTGCCATAGGTGATCCAGGTGGAGGTGACAGATGGGTGTTTGTGGGTGTGCATCTGGAGCTAAGGAGAGAAGAGTGGGCTGCTGCTGCTGATTTTGTTATGGGCCGCGTTAAAGCAGTGGGTGTAGACGAGATTGAGATCGTCTGAGGTGAGCAGAGAGTGTGAGGAGGAGCATGGGTTTGGGGACGAGCCCCGGGGGCCAGTTCAAGGAGAGGGGCTGGGAAGGATGCAAGGCCCTTACCGGCTGTCCTTGAACGTGTGCCATGCACGCAGAGGTCCTTTCTGCCTCTGGTATAAGAAGCCAAGATATTTTTGCAAAATTAGATATTAAGACAACTGTAACACCAAGAAAACTCGCATGCAACACCATCAGCGCAATGTGATGTGTACCATTGTTCTGTTCAAACTAGCTCTCTGACATTGGTTTGGCAGATTGAAAACTCTTAACTGTGGGTTCCTTCTATGCTGAATCTCTTTCTGTGTTTTGACAAAGCAGAGACGCCTGCACACTGAGTCCGTCAAAACGCACAGTGCTAACTCATCGCGGGGCTTCGTTGGTTTGGGATAAGCACACCTCATCCTTCCCCCCTGCCTTGGGCCTGGCAGGGGTCTGCCCAGAGCCTAGCCCTGGGGCACATGGAAAGGCAGGTCTCCCACCCTGTCTGGCATGGAAATTGGGCTTGGACCTCACCAAGAGCATGCAAAGGCATCCTTTGACCTTTGCTGGACATAGGCAGGATGCTAACACACACCCAAACGCAGGTGCTAAGATTGTGTCCAGCCCTCTCGGAGGAAGTGGCAATGCTGGTAGTCGCGTGTGCTGACGCAGCTAAGGCACTGTTAGTGAAATGCAGCAGCCGGACAGATGCTCACAGGCCCCGGAATCACGGCTGAGTAGCCCCAGAGAACGGCAGCTGTAGGTCTGAGGAACACTCCCCCACCAACCAGGAAGCACATAAGGGAGACGCAGCATCATACACTGACGCTCACGCCCTGCTTGCTGAAGGCACAGGCTGGGTTTCCTTTTTTGGTGATCTTCTTTCCATCTTTGTGTTTTACCTTCCTGTTTCATCTCTTTTCCTGTTGTGTCTCTACCCGCCCCCTTTATGGTAGCTGCTGGAGGGCCCCCACGTGCCCAGGGTTTTTACCCACACGCACTTTCTCACGAGCTCCTAACCCAGGTTGGTATCAGCAAAATGAGGAAATTAATCACAGTCAAGAAATTCCTCCGTGCTGAGCCAGAATCCGTTCCCCATCCTGCCTGTTTCTGCACCCTCCTATTCCCGGGTCGTCAGCTCTGTTTCTGCCTTACATGGTCTTCAGGCAGCTCTGAGGCCGAGTGCCTGTCCGCAGCCCCTCGGGGACTCTGCATCCCCTGCTGGCCCTGGGTTCTCCTTAGCGCCTCCCTGTCTCTGCCCAGTTCTGGCTGACCCCTGGAAACCCACCCCCGTCTCGTGAGCCCTGCTGGACTAATGGCAGCTGCAGCTCATCACATCTGGAAAGCACCTGGACAGAGCTAGGCTGCACTAGCCCTCCCCCCCTCCCCCACAGTGGCCTTCTACCCTCAGCTGTGCCTGAAGGGCGGGTGGTAGGAGGAATTTGTCTTGACTTCTCACCCTTGAAACTCTGTGTTTCCAGTAGCTTCCTCCTGCTCCTTCCTTGCTGGGTCTCCTGTCTGTTGTGTCTTCACTTCCAGTGTTTCCTTCTCCCTGGCTCCGTTACAGGCAGCTTCCCTGTCCCCTGTTCCAATCTGTTTCTAACTTCTGCCTCCTCCCCATTTTTTTCCTCGCTCCCATTAGGATCTGTTTCAGGTACTGGCTCTACGATTGCTCCTTTTACTGCCCTCCTCCCCCTTTCCTCTCCATCTTACCTCTCTTCCCGATGGCACCCAGATTCTGGGTGACTGTATGTCTCCTTTCCACTGGCTTCACTCCCATGCCTCCCCCCAGCTCTCCTGCTGTGGCCCTCTTCCTCCACCACTCTCTCCTGCTGTGTCTCTGGCTCGCTGACTCTCACACCACAATGCTTCTGCCCACCCAAAGTCTGAACAAGAGCAGCCTCTGGGCTGGGGGGTTCCCTGCCTCTGAGGGGGAGCATGCTCTCTCAGAGGGCATCTCATTGCTGTTGCTTTCTCCCTCTGTCTCCTTCCTAGTCTGGTGCTGCTCGTCATCCTTAACATGATGCTCTTCTACAAACTCTGGATGCTGGAATACACCACCCAGACCCTCACTGCCTGGCAGGGTCTCAGGCTCCAAGAAAGGTAATCCTGGCCTCTTCCCCTTGCCACTCCCCCGGCTCCCCAAACCTCCTTCTCTCTGGGCTCCTGCCTCCCTCTCTCCTGTGACTGCCTCGCTGCCCTTGGCTGTGGGATACCCTCTGGGATGAGTCCACAGGCAAACTCTGAAAACTCCCTGTAGTGTGGATCTGCTTCTGATTGGGGGCACAGGGAAACAGGGACAGTGAGCTGGGGACAAAGCACTCTGATGTGACTCTCTGTCCTTGAGGGGTCGGGGAGCACAGGACAGTCCACTGAGCATAACTCCAGCTGCCGGGGCACCCCTTCTTCTACCCCACAGATTACCCCAGTCTCAGACAGAATGGGCCCAGCTCTTAGAGTCCCAACAAAAGTACCATGACACTGAGCTCCAAAAATGGAGGGAAATCATCAAGTCCTCAGTGATGCTTCTCGACCAGGTGAGTTTCCCCACCCCCGCCCCTGTTCTGGGGACAGGGCTCCTCCCCTGGGCTCTGAGCAGGCACACAGGCAGGCACAGCCCTTCACCACCTGCTGTGCCTCACCCTCCTTCCTTCTCCTGCCGGCTACTCTCATTTTCAGGCGGTGTTTGAATGTGTGTTGGAAGCACAGGTGCAGTCCCCAAAGTAATGACAGTGAAACAACACACTGGGTTTGCAGCAGGAAAGCTATAGATGAGGTGGAAGGAGAACTTTTTTTTTTTTTGGAGACCCATAGTCATCTGAGGGACATTTAGAGAGAGAATGTCCCTTTTTATTGAAATGTGCCTTCCCTGGGGGCACTCCTTCTACTTCCTTTTGCTGTACAACCCCTACTCCGCTGCCCTCAAAATGTGCTCCCCAGCACACCGCCTCCTGGCACTCTCCTCAGGGGCATCACTGAAACTCTGGAAAGCTGACTGTGTCTTCTTTTCATAACATCTTCCACTGTTCCTTCTAGAAGCAGATGTGTCTGTTTAAGAAAATCACCCTGGGGTAAAATCAACCATTAACTTACTTTTATTAGGGAAAGGAGTCTCTTCCTTCCCCCAGAAGAACATCTTAGAATAGCTCCCACGTAGTTACAAAGACAGCAAGAACTTACCTTTTCTGTGCAAGAGGATTAAGATCGTAGTCCATGGGTTTGCTCCGTTATTCTTCAAATATTTTTTCCCTAAAGAGTATCTGCCTGATGCTGACCTAAGATGCCAGACCTGAGATGCATTCCTAACCCTGCCACTTGAGGACCTTGAGCTAGAGATTTTATATTAGTGAGCTTCCATGTCTTCCTTTCTAAAATGGGAATTACAATCTTTGCTGTAAGAAACTGCTGTCAGAATTTGATGGTACATGGGAGTCACTGATTAATATTCAGGTTTTTTACCTTTAACTCTAAATCAGGAGTTTGCTTGTTCTGCTAGAGGTGCAGGGGTGAGAGGGTTTATCAGAGACAGACTGAGGAGCAGAACAGGTGGATTTACTAAAATACACCGTTGAGGGGAGCAGCAGGTGAGACAGGAGAGGTCTACTGCGCCACGACGTGGTCACCTCCCTGGCCAGGGATCGAAATCAGGCCTGAGAGGTAATAGCATTAAGACTTAACTCCTGAGCCACCAGGGAGGCCTCCAAGGTGAGAGACTTTTAATATAGCTCTCAAGAGCCAGTTTAACATGTCCAGAGAATCACATGTAGCCATATCATCATGTATAAGGAGTGCAGTTTTAACCCAAAGTGGACTGATGGCACAGTGAGGGATTTGTGTGTCCTGTCACATTAAGAGGGCTGACAGAACTAAAGATCTGTTCAGCAGGAGGGGAAACTGGGGAAAGGAGATACAATTGTATTTAGGTGTTGAGGATTAGAGGAAGAGTGGGAGGTCACAGACTGAATTAGGACAGGATGTTACAGGAAATAGATTTATAAGCCATGAATTAAGACCCTGACTGCTTTTGATCAGATCTGTCCCACGATTGAAAGAGCTACTTTGAAGAACTGGGCAGCACTGAGAGTGTTCAGGGGCTGAAATTAGATAAGGCACTTGTGGATTAAGTGGAGGTAGTGGGATTGGATGAGCCAGTTCTCTTTCAACTCTAGAATTCTGTTGCAGTGTGAGTTCTCTTAAGATTGGGAGGCTGTTAAGATTTATAGTATGATAAATTCTACAAAGATAGAGATAGGTGTTTTATTTCCTTTCCTTTAAAAGGAATTTAAAAGAAGAGTAATAAAACCCTCCGCCCTATAGAGCAGAGACTATAGGAGAACCAGGGAGAAGAGAAGCGCAGGGTAGGCAGAGAAAGCAGCCGTTCTCCAAATCTGTAACAGTTCTCCCCTGAAATGCTAATTCTGCTGAACAGCGCGCCGTACTCGGGAGCAACACCTGTGTGTTCTGGTAGGTCATCCGCTTTGGGATTCTACCACTGGAATCCCCTTGTTTTGACTCCACTGCATAACTTGATCATGTCAATGTGTCCATTCCTGAAAGGAGGGTCTGTTGCCCAGTGACAGTCATTTCAGTGATAGAGGTACAACTGGCAGCCTCAGTCCTCTGCTGGGCACCCAGGGCCTGCTCAGGAAGGGATAAGAGGCGTTACCAGCCCCAGCACACGCGAAGCAAAGCCACTAGAGATGCGAAGCACTGTGAGCCCCAGTGAATGGTGCCTGAGAGGCCAGGAATGCGAGAGGTGCAGGGGAGCGCACAAAGCTTGGGTTTGTCTTGGGCCTCGTAAATGGTGAGCTTGGAATAGGCGAGAGAGAAGATGCCCAGGTGGAAGAGGAGTGTAGCACACTGTGTCTTCAGCAGCAGCTGGGAAAGCGCACTGATGAGTAGAAGACAAGTGGCCATCTCCAGGAGCCCCTTAGTCCGTGGGAGGCTTTGGGACAATTCTCACCTCAGTGATACCAGGGCACAGTCCTTCAGCACCCAGCAGAGCCTCCCTAGAGGTTCCAGCGCAAGGTCGCACACCCCCTTTCTGCCTGGGACTCTGTCTTTGAGATCACCTTTGTTTTTTGGTGCTCAGCTCCCTGTAGCTCTCTGGTGTGGTCAGCGGGCCTTTGGTGGGTGTGGTGGGCACTGCGGGTTGAAGCTCGCTGAGGCAGCAAACCTATCTTACAGATGAAGGACTCACTCATCAACCTTCAGAACGGCATCAGGTCCCGTGACTACTCATCAGAAAGCGAAGAGAAGAGGAACCGCTATCACTGACAAGGCAGGAACAGGGGTGGCTGCAAGAGGCCTGTGCAATACATGTACATAGACCATATAAATATATATAAATATATATATATACAGAATATAAATATATATATATTATATACAGATTTTAAACAGAGATAATGCCTATGTACCAGGGAGAAGGAGCGGGACCGCCCCCTGTGCTGGCCAGTGGAGGGGCCGAGGAGGGCAGGAACCATCTCCTGGCACCCACCGACCACTCCTGGCCCTCCTCCTCCCCCGCCTGTCGTCCCCCACCCCCCACGCACCCCACTTTCCCTCGCTGGCCGTTCTTGGTTCTGAGAAGGGAAATGTTGTTGAGCCAAAGTTATGCCTGTGAAGACCCTGGGTCTTGAAAAGAAGTCTCAAGGGGGCATTGCTTCAGGTGCTTCATTCCCTAATCCCCTTCTGAGTTGTTTCTCCAATGAAAGAGAATCTCTTCTTCCCGACCCGATGCTTCAGATGTTCTGTTGTGAACGAGGAAGCATCGAGGGCAGGAGCCCAATCTCGACTCCACCAGGCAGGCTGCCCCCTTCCTATGGCCCACACACCAAGAGTCAGGTGGAGAGGACGGTGGGAAGCGGGAAAGGCTGCACCCGTGAGTTTGGGTTTGAAGCTGCAGGCCCCTGAGGTCTGGTGTCCGGGACGGTCTCCTCCATCACCCTCTCTTCTCACCTGTGTAGGGGCTGGACCCAATAAGGGCTGGGAATTTCCTACTTGCCCTCTTCCCTTTCTCTCTGGTCTTCTCCCAGGCTGGATCTGGGTGAAGTGTCACTTTTTAGTGCCTAAAGTCCTATTTTTTCTCTGTGCCCTAAGAGCACATTGTTTATTAGCCAGGATGGAGCATTTTTTGATCTTGTTAAACCTCTTTTCATGATTATAAGCACGTCAGCTCTGAGGGGCTCCGAATCCTTCACTTTGAGCTGCCAGCTTGATTTCCAGGTGGAATCAGGGTGTCCTGGGAACTCTAGGGTTTGAGAGAGTGGGTGCCCAGGCAATGTGTGGATGGCAGGGTCTCAGCACAGAGGGCTGGGTGGGCAGGGAGCAGCAGGAAGCAAGCGCTCCATTGGCTGCCCGTCACTCGCTATCAGTGAAGGGCGGCTTTGGTCAAGGAGTCCGCTGTCTGAGACTCTTAGGCTGGGATGATGGAATGGATCTGGCAGAGGTCCATGTCCTTGGGCAGCAAGAAGCCAGATGGAGCTTTCTGCTGCCCCATGCTGCCCTACCCCATGTCCTCAGTTTTTCAGACTTGAAGTGGGGATTCTAGGGGAGGGAGCCAAGCCTCTCAAGTGTCTGAACCCAGAGTTAGGAGATCACTCAGGAGTAGACAGAGGCCTGGGGCTAGGTAGTGAGTCATCCAGGGCCTTTGGACGTTAGCTCTGGAGAACCCATGCATTTATATTACCTCTTAGGGCCCTTCTGGGCACATCATCCTTCATACACCAACTCTTTCTTCAAGTAAGGCCAAGGAATCCTTGCTAGAGCATTCCAAAGGCTCCCCCAAGCACAGCACCTGGAGATTCTCCATCAGGAAAGCCAGTTTGGCAAGGAGAGCTCTTCCAGGTTGCTTGGTCTTCTAGTGGAGGCCTCTTGATAGGAGGAAAAGAAAGGCTTGTCAATGACCTACCCCAAAAGAACAAACTGTATTCTTCTCTTAAAGTCTCTTCTCTTGTTCATCTCACTTGACGGTGAAAAGTTTTTGACTTTTTAGTCTAAGGACCCAGCCTTGTAGCTGCTCAAAGGCAAGAAGAGAGGACAAAGACGTACTGCCCAGGCCATTGCCCAGGGTCAGCTAAAATTAATATCCCTCCCTTCAGAAAGGAGAAGAGAGGATGGAGCTGTGGGTCAACCTGGCGATGGTGCTTCTGCCCCCAGGCCAGTGAGTCACCACTCACTGCGGTTCTGGGATGAGGGCCAAGACTCACAAGCCGAAGGAGGAGTGATGCACACTGCTAGACATTTCCCCTGCTAGAATAGTAGCCGAAGGCTGAAATGAGTCCCAACACCTCTGAAAGCAAAAATGATAAATTCTCTAATTTATTCCATAGACAACTATTTATTTATTTAAATTATTCAGTTATTGAAGGTCCCATCCCTTGGGGATGGTTTTTCTTTTTTTGCTTGGAGCAAAATAATTTGTAACACACAGGCCCAATTACACAGAGTTGTTCTGCTTTCGCTTTTATTCTCAGGACCACTCACCGGGGGAGCAGGTAATAGGGAGGGGGTGATACTCATATGTCTGAGGACCCTCTCATACTTTCAGGTGATTTCAACTAAGGAGACATTGGGTGCACCTAGGGAGCACCCCTCAGGCTGCCTGACACCTGAGAATTATGGATCCCTTGTAGGCAGTCCTTCTTCAGATAGCTGTTTGACTTTCCAACCAAGCTACTATTCAGTCCCAAATAAGAGTTTTTTATCCTTATTCAGTAACATGTCAGAGAAGGGAACTCAGCCTTGTAGGGAAACCCACAATAACATGGTAACTCATGGCCAGATGCTGGCCTGTTGATGTCTGCAAGGGAGCATTAGAGCCACCACCTCTTAGGTTAGCTCTTTCATCAGGGGTTTTTGTTTCCTGTTGTTCACCTAAGAACTTGAGTCACAGGGTTTTTTTTTCTTGAGGATTCATGTGGCAAAACATTGAAGAGTTTGTACTCCATTTAAAATAATTTGTAAAGCTTATTATCCAGGGCCTAGGCTTCCCCTTTCTGTGGAGTAAATGAGAAGGTTGGCCTTGGAGAAACCAGTCATGTCTACAGCTCTCAGTTGTCCACTGGGGCAGGGAAGTGGGGATGAGGATGAGAAAGGGAGTGGCAGGGGAGAGCAGGCTGTAGTGTTCACTATTAACCTAGGAAGGCATTTCTTCCTTCAGTTGGCTCATCTTTTTTGGGAAGAGATCTTCTTTTGGACCTTGTCTAAACGAAGAGGATAATGGCAAGAAACACGCCATCTTGGATTGAGCCATCTTTCATCTTTCATGAAAGCTAAGAAGCCTTTCATCTTTCTGTCCATCCTTCTTGCAAGAGGGAACAGTGGAGAGAAGGCATTTCTGGTTCTAGTATGTCCTTTTGGCTCAGTCACAATCTTGGTGAGGTTGGGATTAGGTGTAAAACCTTAACTAACATCCTTGACTGGCCTAAGAGCAGGGACTGCAAGGAGAAGGGAGAACCAAGAAACCTCAAGAGGATGCTTTGATATAGATTCTCTCTATCTCCCTGAGCCCCACCCACACTCGGACCACGTCTAATACATTCACAGGCAACGTCTCTAGACTGAAATCTTAGAGGCAGAACTAAAGGGAGAATCTTTTTAGGCCACTTGTGGACTCAGAAGGATACTTTCTGTGCCATACTCTACTGCTTCTTTAGCTCTGCAGGGCAGCCAAAGCCAGCCCTTCCTCTCTTGAGCCCCAACACCAGTGCCCCCCAGGGGAAATAGCACTCTTCTCTCTCCCTGTGGCCTCTCTGCCCACATCCCTTACACCACCTGCCCATACCCGGAGGAGACTTGAGCACTTCTTTTCCTAGTTCTCTCTCCCCCCACCCCTGTCTCTAGGCTGTGGGACAATCACCCCATTCACCACTTGACATCCTTGGCCCTCACCCCTAAACCTCCAGCAGGCTGACCCCACTCCTCTCCACTTCTGTTTCCTTCCAGAAGATGTGTTTTGGGTCTGGGCAGAGCATTTTTCTGGAAACCCATCTTTTAATGCCCCTGCTTTTTCGTGGAGCAGGAATTTGCACACGGTGTAGAGAGTCCCCTTCCCACCTCTCTGCCCGGCCTTGTTACCTCACTCCTGCTCCGACCATGGCTGTGATGAGCCCAGCCAGCTCCCTGTTTTGGTGTTCTGTGTGACCACTCAGGGGTCTTGGGCATTGTTTTCTATTGTGACTTGAGGTCCTCAGCAGGCCTGGGAGCCCGGATTTGGAGCCCTGGCCACTGGGGAGAAGCACCTGGCCTGCCAAGAGGAGCTGATGCCAGACGATCTACCCAACATGTGAAGGTGGAAAGAACATTGTCACCTCTGCCCTTTGCTCTCCCTTGCTTCTCTCAGCACAGTGAACACTGCAGAAGCAAAATGGTGGCCTCTGCTCCAGGCAAGACAGCTGGCTCTGTCTGGAATGTTGGCCCTGGGCTTGGGTGCCATGTGCTGAGATCTCATCATCAAAGCAACCATTTTTGCCAACGATAGTGTGTGGCTCCCCCATGTTTCCCCATCCTGCATCTAGGGCCAGACCACTCTCTGCATGGACCAGACCATCTTCCCAAACCCATGGTGCTTCTCCCTTCCCCAACTCAACCTAGACCCCAAGGTGGGGAGGGATGGGCCAGAGGCCATATGGTCCTGGACAATCCTGACATGGGGTGGAGTGGGGTGAGGCATAAGAGGAGCCCCAAACCTGCACTGGGCCATCGATGGGAAGGAACACAGGTTGATTGCAGTCGAGTTGTCTGGCCATCTGTGTGGGGAACTGTCGCTGTGCTCTGCCTGGCGCTGTGCGCAAGGTCTGGAAACTCACTGCTAGTCCCTAGAAACATACAAGGCCTCCCAGCCAAATCTTTAATGTAAGTAGCTAGAGCCATGGAAGTACAGTATGAATTAAAAGAAAAAGTATTGAACTTCAAATAATAAATGGCGTGTGTGTCTATTGCTTGACTCTATCAGTGCTCAGCCCAGATGTTTCTGGTCTTCCCAGATGTGTACCACACTCTTCCACGTACACACAACTGACAACCGACACCCAACAGCTAAGGCCTCCTTGGGAGGGGGAGGGCAGCAGCTTGAAGCGCAGAAGATGTAGAATTCGACCTGAGTCCCTTTACCAGCTGTGTGACCGTGGGCCCATGAACCACTTCCAGCCTGGGGTTTTTAGAGATGTGTGGAATTTTTAGAGGTGGTTATTGTACTAAGCTAATTTTTATATTATTATTAATGCTGTTATAGGAGTATGATGGACAGTGACTCCTGATGGCAATTACCTGAACTTTTCCTCTTTTTTTTTTGAAAATTTATTTATGCCTAGAACTGGGCTATAGGCCACAGGTGTAGGATGTGAGAGGATTTGCCAGAGTGGAGAACAAAACAGGCAGATGTACTGAAATACACTGCTGAGGGGAGCAGCGGGTGAGATGGGAGAGGCTCCTGTGCCATGAGGGTTAGAGTCCTGGTCGGGGATCGAATTAAGGCCACAGCGGTGATAGCGCTAAAACGTAACCCTGACACCACTCGGGAGGCTCTGAACTTTCCCTTTTTGATGTCTTGGGCACTTGGAAAGAGCTGGACATTGGCAAAGACAGCCTTGCCATATCTAAGTTGGTAGAGCTGAGAGCTGATGGGGCCCTTTCCTCCTCTACTGCTAGCTTTTCTGAAGCTAGCCCCTCGCCCCTGGTAGGAAGCTTATTGGAGGTCAGAGAGGTGAGAACCACAGGTGACTCTTATATTGCCTTTGTATGTGAGTAGGGAAGGGGAAAGAGCAGCTTGACCACCCACTTACCCTGTTTAATTCTAAACTATTAAATGTTTTTATCATTTTTATCATTCTCTGAGGATATCCGTCAGTTCAGGAACTGGTACAGGTTGGAGAGGTAGGTAGAAGCTACAGTATAGGTAGCAGCCACACCGAGTAAGTACAGCAAAACCAGAGCAAGGATGCTTAGACACTTTATTAACATGAACAGGGAGTTTCCTGTAAAACACTACAGACAGGCAACAGTTGTCGAGAACTTGGGTGGTCAGGAACAGCTCTAGAGTTCAGAAAAGGACTGGCTGTGGGAAATCAAGAAAAAGCCATATGAAGGTGGCAGTGAGGGAAAGAGTTCCATCAGTAGCAACACTAAGTTTGCCAATTGAACTAGATGCCGTTTCACAAACCTGCAAACACTTGCCCTTCCGCTGCCTCCAGTCCCCATCACACACACACTGCCCAGAAGACACAGCTCTTGCCAATTAATGACTCAGGGAGAGGAGGATCGCCAGCCTTGGGAACAGCTGACCTGGGAGAGGTTAAGCCTCATCTCCAACTTAGACTTGCGTTGTGTGCTTGTGTACTGGGCCCGACTGTAAACTTGGGGGCAAGGGCATCTAACATGAGCTCCCACAGGTTTTAAGAGATCAAGAGAGGCTGGAGTGATGGTATTTTTGCGACCTAGGAACACAGGGCACACTTGAACGGGGGATGGGGGGTGGTCTAGATTAATGCTCGACAGGGTGTGCACTGAAATGAAGAATGAGCGGATGATCGGAGTGAGCAATGGGTGCAGTGAGACGTCCCTGGATTAGGGAGCATCAATTTCCAAAAGGTCAGAGAAATGCTTTGATTTGTTTTTTCACTTACATGCTAACCTGGGGACAGGAACTCAATGTATTGAAATGTGTCTAGTTCTTTCTTCCTGCAAAGATGCTGTTACACAGCATCTTCTCTCTGGTTTATGTCTGGTGGGTTCATGGATCTCAGATGGGGGTTATTTCCCTTTTTAATGTAGTAGTTTTACAGGGAGAGAAGGGAGCTGCTCTGTTCTTAATCATTAACTGCTGTACATGTCTCCAGCATATTCCTGCTTTGAAAAATGTCCCACTAACATTTCTAGTTTGTCATAGAAGAAAAAACTAGGCACTCAGAGATTCAGAAATCTGGCTGTATGGATATTTGCAGTTTGAAAAACTAAAGCATAATACTTTTAAACAGCCTGAAAATAAAGGTGGGGGAGGGGACAGGCTCAGATCAGGTATTTCCATTGCAGGAGTCAGGGGTGTGATGTAAGATTGAACTGACAGTAAAGGTTAGAGGGCAAGATGCTTACAGGGCCAACTGAGTAAACAAGTTCATGGCTGTTAAGCAGCAGGAAAGGGAAAGTCATAGCCCGCCTGGCTTGGCCATTAGTGGCCTGTGTTCTTGAGGACCAGTCATGGGAAATAGCCAGCACCAAGACACAGATGGGGTTCCTCAAGTGAGAATAGCCCTTGAGAACATTTCTAAGCCCTTGAGTAAGAACATGCCAGGTAGAGCTTCCAGAGGAATGCACATGTAGTCTGGATTCTTTGTAGGAATATGGGAGAAATAGGGAGGTGGTACAGATTTTGAAATAGGCTGGTGATCACAGTACCTTGTAGATTTATAGTCATGATCAAGTCTCCCAGGAAGGAGTTTAAGCCAGTAAGAAGAAATGATGAGGTACACACCAACTAGGAAGGGGAAACAAAATGAGATGAACTCTCAAAGCAAAGCACACTTCTAGCATCTACCAAGAAGCAAAGTCCTAGACGAGCAGTTGTGTGGGTTTAGAGGTGAGAGACGCTGAATATTTTCACACAAACCAGGGAGGCAAAGGTTGGATGGAAGCTGAAAAGAAAGCAAAGGAAGCAGCCGTGGTCTGAATGGAAAGAGCATGGGCATGACAAGGCCTGGGTTCCAACTCTCACTCACCACCTAGCTGGACTTGGGATTCAGTAAAACTACTGACCCTCAAAGAGCCTCGGTTTCTTCATTTGAAACATGCTAATGAGTAATATCCATCTCACAGGGTTAGAAATGGCCCCTAAAATGAAACATTATTATATAAACCATAACTCGAATGAAAATATGATGAATGGAAGAGTTAAGAAGGTAGGGGGAAAAAGAATAGAGACTATTACTGGTAAGCATGAATTTTAAAAATGGTAGCCACTATTCAGTTTTGTTTAAAAAAAAAATCACATCTGAGTTGGGCTTCTTAAAAAGGAAAAAGAGGCTCATGCATTTCAAGCTAGATAACATGGTTTAATGGAACCAAGAGGAAGGTGGAGGGTGGCGTGTGGCTATCTTCTAGAGCAAGCTCTACAGTCAGCCTGCCACATGGCTGGGAAGCCCCAGAGTAACCCATCATCCAGGCTCATCTTCTTAGCTACAGAGAGAGGATCTCTATTCTGCCCCCTGTTTCAGTAGGATTAAATTAACAACAAGAAGGGCCTTGACTTCATGGAAAGTCTTGTCTTCAATAAAGTTGGATCTTGAATATGTGGACCAGGACTTGTTTCAAGTATTTCTCCAGGGTGAAAGAGATGAAGAAATGAGTTCATCAGGTGAGGCCTAAAGCCAGTGGAGCATGATCTTCCCCACAGATTCCCCCAGATCTGATGAATATTCCACTCATCGAATCTCAAGTCCCTTTCGTCATCTTGTCCCCCAGAAGGCAGCCTTCCTTTCTCTCATCACTGGTGCTGAAGAACATCACACCTTGACTAGTCACTCAATATGGAACATGAGATGGGGACTATTTCCAGTGTCCCTCTGCCCTCCCAGCATACAAGGAGGACATCAGATATTACTAGATTCACAAGTGAGTCACTGGGAAGCCACCTGGCTCACTCCTTGCCATCACTTCATCATTTGCTCATCACCCATCTCAGGCTGAAAAACCAGTCTCTTGGTTTAAAGATCATTCCCAGATGCATCTCCTGGAGAGTTCACCATCTCAGATGCACAGATCTTTCACTAAGGAAATTCTGCAAGTTGACCTCAGTTCTCTGAAGAGTTTCTAGTTCCCTGAATGTATCAGAGTCAGGCAATTCAGTCCTGTCTGTGCTTTTGAGAGAGCCTGGCCTTAGCCAAGCTTGATTTTAAAGTCTGCAAAAACAGCCCTGTCTTGGGAAGAAGCAGCACTCAAGGCTTCTTATCTCTTCTTCCAAGTCTCTTACTCAGGTGATCCCTGTCTAAGTCTCAGTTGCCTCCTGTAAAGCAAGGAATAATACTGATCCACAGAAATTTTGAGGAAGAACTTAGAATTGTAGTTCTCACATCCACAGGAAAATTATGCCTCCCAGCTATCTTGGGTGGTGGACACCTTTGGGGACACCAGATATATTACTCCCATCACATCAGGAACATTCTGTATGATTTTTAAATGCCACTTAAATTGCTATCAGTCCTCAAGTTTTCTGTCCTTGGATTTTTGAAGGACTGAGACTAATCCAGGTCTTAGAGACTTATCAGGATCTAGCCTTGGAGTTCTTGGTACGTGTCCATACTGAATGACTTTCTACGGGGGCATGCTTTGCTCTGTGCTCTAGCCAAGTGGGCCAGAACTTGGAATAACTGATATCACAGAATTCCAGTTCCTGATAACTTGCTTTAACCTTGAACTCATCCCATCTGCTTCCTTTATTAAAACATCCATTCACTTGCAGCAATAGAAAATAAGCTGTTTCCAGCCAGTTGTGGGCAAGGGTGTGCCACCTTCAGCACTGTACACAATCCCACTTGGAGCACAGGGCAGAAGTCCAGCTGGCCTGGGAGCTGCTTGCATGACAACTAAGACAGGGTGAGGTTGAGTCCAAGTAGAAATGTTGGCTCCTCAGTTCTGGCAAAGTCTCATGGTTGTGAAGAATTCTGGTGGAGTTAGGAAGTCAGAAGTGAAAGCTCAGAGGTGAATGGATTTTGATGAATGAATAGAAGGATGATGGTGAAGGAAAGCAATGTGGCCCTCAGGGCACCCTCCTGATGCTGCTGACGCCATTCAACCTGGGATATCCAGTCTTTCAGTGTTCAGGCCACCTACTAATGATAAAACAACTCTCTGAGAATGTCCAGCCCAGCCCAGCCCAGCACTCTGACCTTAAAAAAGGGAGGGAATGAATTACTTTGCCTTCGTCATTACAAGAAAGGAATTCAAGCTGCCCCAATACTCACACCAAAGCAATTCACCTACCAAAGGGCTTGACATCACATAGAGCTTTGTGACTTGGGCAATTTAAAGAAGTGCCCTGCAGGCGGGGGCACTGGGTAGGACAGACGCCGAGCTGAAGGGCCAGATTTCAAGTCCCTTCAGTTGTAGCTGAAAGGTTCCTCCACAACCTGCCATCTTTATCCACCTTCCCTTACCTTCACTGTACTTCACCTTAGTCACACCCTTCTCTTCTATTCCTCCACAGGCACCACAGAGTTCTCTTTGTTCTCCGATGGGATGGCTAGATAGTCAGACCTGTAGGAAGGGAGGTGGGAGAGAGAGTCAGTGGTTTTGAACCCAGAGGAAAGAGACAAAAATGTCTGCAGAATAGCTCTGAATGTCCTTCTGGCTGTGTTTCCCAATAGAGAAGTAGAATAACCCCTTCAGTGGGTTAGGGTAATGGGGGTGTTTTGCCTCCATATTTGTGGAGGCTCCTACCAGCACAGCACAAGTCTTCTCATTTATCAGTATTGTTCTCAGGACTCAGTATTGTTGGATTAAAATGTTGGTCAAACTGATGGGTGTCAAGTTATACTTTATAGTCGCTTTGATTTTCAGTTCTCTGATTATTTTCTCATAAGTTTATAGGCTGCTTGGATTTCTACTTCTATCGTTTGTTCATTTTCTTTAAAGATTTATTTATTCATACAGAAGTAGGGTACAGGCCAGAGGTTCAGGGGTGGTAAGAGGATTCCCCAGAAGAACAGGCAGATTAATGAAGTACACTGCTGAGCGGAGCAATAGGTGGGACAGAAGTCTGCTGTGCCATGTGGGTCACCTCTCTGGATGGGTTTCGAACTCGTATTGAAGTTGCCACGGTAGCTTTACAGTGCTACACTTTAATCCGTTGCACCACCAGGGAGGACCCTATCATTTGGGGATTCATTTTTTTTTTCTTGCTTTCTTTCAATTTTTGTGTAGGAGAACTGGGGTGTAGGCCAGAGGTGGGTGGATAAGAGGATTCACCAGAGACAGAGTGGGGAGCAGAACAAGCAGATTGGTTGAAATACAATGCTGAGGGGAGGAGCAGGGAGACAGGAGAGGTCTGTGCACCATATGTGTTAGCTCCCTGGTTGGGGAATAAACTCAGGATGGAGATGAGTTAGTGTTGAGATTTAACCCCGAGGCTACCAGGGATGCCTGCTTGTGGATTATTGCAAAGAGCAAATGATTTTTACATATAATAGAAGGAGAATGCTCATCTATAACAATCTTTGACATGTGCCTTTGGTATTTTAAGACATCCTCTCTATTTCAAATATTCTCTTACATATCTTAATAGAATTCTTGAGTTTTACATTTTACCTTATCTTTAAATCCTCTCATTATTTATTGTTGTTTAGTGTGAAATGTGAGGCAGCTTACTTTTCTGTACAGATAATGAATTATCCGTGTGCCGTTTATTGGACACTTCATTCTTCCCTCAGTCCTTGTAATATCATCTCTGTTATGTGAGTCTTTTTTGTAGCCATGAAGTTATTTGTGGCTTTCTGTCTTGTTCCATTTGTCCAATTTGTATAGACGCTTTAATAGAGCTCTACAAACTCTTCATAGCTGATAGGAAAAGTTCTACCAGTCACCCCCTCTAATTACACCATTTTTTCTTTGAAATTGGTAAATTATGCCCTATGAACTAAGAAAATGTGTTGTTTACAGCATCACAAACAAAGAAGTGAAACCAAAGGACAATACTTAAAGAACCTCAGTAGCCTGGAAGCCTAAAATATTTACTGTCTAGTGATCCCTTGGTTTAGATCAGTTTTGGTCCTTTGCCCCCTTCCATGTGACTAAGATTAGATTTTCAAGTTCCTTAAAACATCCAATAGCCAGTTTGATCAAACTTTCATTGAATTCGCAGCTAAATTTGGGAGCGAATGGCCATGTTCATAATAGTGAGTTTTTTCTCCATTTATTTAAATTTAAAATCTTTCCATAAAGTTTTATGATTTTGTTTTTTAATTTACTTTTAATTTTAGGTGTCCTAAGAAAATTCTATTGTAGAAGTATTAGGTAGTAATGATAAATTTCCATCTATAAGGATCAGAGATTTTCTTGCATCTAATTTATAGCTTCTTCCCTCCCCCCCCCCCCGGCTTTTTTTTGAAATACCTAATTTCAGAATCATCTAGGAGCTTGCGACACAATCTGATAATGCATGTAGGATTATGCTGATCTTTATCAAGTGGTTCTTTTAAAAATCTTGCCCATTTTTATCAAATCTATTCCCAGCACTGAAAACTATTTGTCACTATTGAAGTTAATTTTTGTTTTAACATTTTAATGTTTGCATTCTTTCTTTATTTTTGTGCCAGAAATGTTGATGATTTTTTGACATTTTGATATTTTTATTTACAACACCAATCTTGTGAAATGTTCTTACCAATTCTAACAGTTTGTCTCTAGACTCCCCTGGATTTATATATAAGTATTTGTATTGGGTATGATAATGATAGTTTAGGTTCTTTCCAATTACTACCTTTTTCTTTGTATTTACTTAATACATTTCCTAGTTTCTCTCATACAGTTTTGAATAGATTCAGAGAAAGTGGTATCCTTGAAATATTTCTAATATGACAGTTCTTCTAAAGTTGCAATACACAGATATTTGCTATAGGTTATCTTTACTAACTGCTATTTATCAACTTAAAGACGGTTAGTGTTTAGGTTTAGATTTCTATGTATTTATCCTGTCAGGACATACAGTGATTCCTTCTGTGTAACTTTCTTACATTTATTTTTATTATAAGATAATCTCATCTTTCGGTGAATCAGTCTGCTCTGTTTTATATTTTATTGACTATATATTTTTCATGTCCAGATATTTTTCCTTTGATTTCTGCTCAAATCTGTCAGTTCTTTATTCTTAGCAACTTATTCTATTGTTACACTTTTGGTTCATTCTTTTATTGCTTTAAGTCTTTTAAACTATGTTCTGCATTCTAGCAGGTTCTTTTCTGTCTGAATTCTCTGACTCGTGGCAGGGTGTTTCCTGACATGTATTTTGGCTTTGGATTGGATTGTTACATCAGGTTCTGTAGTGCTTTATCTGGGGAGTTGGTTAGCCTCCGTTGAAGGTGGGTTTTTCATTTGCTTCTCTGTGGTTATCACTGATTTGGGACTCATTTCATTGGATTGAATTTCCAAGCTTAGAGGTTCCTGGATTCTGTGGGTGGAATAAATTTAAATCCCTAACATGGTGAATATAGGCTTATGGTTACTAATGTTTAAGGATCGTTTGTGCTTCTACTTGGAGTCAGGCCAAATGAAAATTTCCTTGATTTTTCTATGGGCTCAGGGACCGATATTGTCTGCTCTCCCCTTTGTGTGGTCTGCAGCCCTCTGAGGCTCTTGGCTCTGCTGGGAACTCCATCTAACTCTGTTCCGTGGGCAGGCCCCACTACTGGAACTTTCTGTCCAAAGATGAGTACTTCCTGTCCAAGTATGGACACTTCCTGTCAAATAACGTTACTTCCTGTCCAAGTGTGGGCATTCCTAGTCCAAGCGCTTCAATCCAAGCCCCTGGGCCACCAGGAATGTCCTCTTCCCCTAGCTTTAAGTTCCCATCTCCTATCTGGTCAGTTGTATCTTTTGACATCCTTGAGATCATAGTTAGTAAGCACAATGATGCTTCCTTTATGTTTTAGACATTTCTAAGTGGTAAGAATAGCCTAGGGCTTTTAAGTTAGATGATCACCTCAGCTGTGTTACAAGCCTCATAAATCTGAGAGGGTTCTTTTCTCATTTCCTGCTCCCCCAGGTAACAGGCCAGCCTGGTCTCTTAGACCCTTACATCCCATCATTTCTCACTGGTGCTCACTCATGGTGGCTAAGACATTGGTGAAAATGGCCAAGGAACAGTCTGGGTATCAGACTCAGAGCCCCCACTCTTGGTATTCTGTCCCAAGCTCCAGAGGAAAGAACTTGTTGGTTAACTAATAAAAGGCAGTGAGTGCCCTTGTGGCCAGATAAGCCTCACACCTGCGGTGAGCAGCTGGGCATGATGGCACTTGGACTTCACCAACTGAGACCCACGGCGCCCTGGTGGCCAGCAGAGCCTCAGCTAGCCACTTAACCTCTGCAAATCTGCTCCAGTGTCTATAAAATGGTACAATAATGTTAATTTTGTGGGATTGTGGTGGCAGCTGACAGGATTAACTTTGGTGTCTAAAAGTACAGGCAAAGCTTTAGTGGCATGAATTCCAACCTTGCTTTGCCTCTTACAGTGATCTTGGACAGCTTGATTTTCTAATCTGTAAAATGGGTATATTAATGCTGCCTACCTCAAATGTGTGTGCAAAGTGAAATAAATTATTTTCTAGCTCCTGTAGGTGCTAGCTGTCATTATTTAAGTGTCTTTGGACTTACGCATTTTCTTGGGCCGCTTCTTCAGCCTTTGAGACCTTCCTGTAGCAATATATCATCTCAATGAGCAGCCACAAAGTCAGGAAGACAAGAAGGATGTACATCATGATTTCCGAGACCACAGAAGTGAAGTCCTCTCCAGCTGCAAGGGGAAGAAGGAGGGTCAATACGTGTGTGTCCATCTAACCCAGAGCTGCCATTGAGGTCAGAGCTATATGAGGCCTATTTGAAGTAGAGCTTAAATTAGCACCAACTCAAGAGGGTGTGAAAGGAATGAATTTCCTCTGACTCTCCTGTCTGTCAGACCCTTAATTCATTGTCATCATATGCTTGGAGAGTGGAAATGAGAGACTGGCAGTGGAAGAGGCAGAGGAGCAGTGAAAGGAATCCTGGCAGAGAGTGAGGACATGCACACCTATGTGTGCTGGGTCCAGTTTTGCTGGTACCTAGTATGTGACTAGTCATTTCCCTTATTTGAGACTCGGTTTCTTCATGTGTAAAAGGAGGATCACGGGCCCTCCCTGGTGGCACAACGGATTAGGATGCAGCACTGCAAGCCAGCTGCAGCTGCTTCAGTGAGAGTTGGATCCCTGGCCCCAGAGGTGACTCATATAGTGTGGCAGACCTCTCCTGACCTGCCCACTGCTCCCCTCAGCAGTGGACTTCATCGATCTGCCTGTTCTGCTCCCCACTCTGTCTCTGGTGACCCTCTCACTGCCCCTGCACCTCTGGCTTGTACCCCGGTTCTGAATGAATAAATAAATAAACCTTTAAAAAAAAAAAGGAAGATCATAATTCACACCATTGCATTAGCTAAAGTATTCAAGATTATCCTGTGAGATGTAAGAGTCTATCCAGACCTAAGGAGCACATCTTATTTCAGCTGCCCATGTCTCTGAGCGGAGGCTGGTGGGGTCTAGTCCCTAAGAGTGAGTATCAGTGGGTCAATGCGTGGGCCCACCGGTGAAGTGGGCGTGTCCTCTACTAGCCTGCATTAGAAATAAGGACCCTCTGAGCTCATTTTTCTTCCGGGTCATCCCAAATCCAAGCAGAAGTGAAGAGTGGAGGATTCTGTATGCCAGACTACCCTTAGAAATCTACCTCTGAAACACAACTCTGGTCCTGCCATTTCCCTGTTCACTGGTGTTCTGTGCTGCCCTGCGAGTTAGGCCTACATTCGATGGACATGTCTACAGGCCAGTCACACTGCGGCCTTTCTCTCCTCAGTTCCATCCCCTTAGCCAGCAAGAACTTCTCACACACCCCATGGTCTTTTAGAGGCCGGATGTTCCCTCTTCCGCTACCCTCTCCCCAAATTGTAGCTCATCACCTACTTCTACCTACCTCTCCCAACACCCCTGTTGCTTTTCAGTCTCCCAGTCATTCTTCTAGACCACCCCAAAGTCTCCTCTTTGGCAAAAATCTGCTCAGCTCCTCAGGCACATTATTCACATCCTTGTCTGTCCTTTCTTCACTCACTCTGAGTAACCCTTCTCGGGTTATATTGTGATGAGTTTCTCTCCTCCGCTGACTGTGTGCTTATTGCGAACATGGCTGCATTATCAGCCTGTTGTCTAACCCTGAAATATTTGAAGTACTCAGTAAGTACTGAATAAGTATTCATTGAATGAATGAATATAAATAAATATTGATTTTTGTCCTACAACCAACAACTATGACAATTACAACATGATGCATGGCAAACATCCTGATATATATATTCCCTCCTAATGGGAGGAAGGTTGCTGCCTCCTCTCCCCTTGCCAGCTCCCAGAGACAAATTAGATTCATAGTCCTGGGTTATTTATGAGGGCCAGTCGTCCTCAGGCCTCGCTCATTAAAAGCTCAGTCTAGCCAGCCGTGACCTTTCTTCGACTCAGAGCAGTCCAAGGACTGTGGGACCATCCGGGCTACTAACTGGAGCTGGAGGCTGGAGAGACAGGTGGAGGCACAGGGGACTGCCACACGTGTCACATGGCTTCTCCTGGGCTCGCTGCCACCTGGTGTGTGACACGCTTGGCCGACAGCAGGCGATCTCGTTTCAAAGGCAACAGCCCAGAGAGAGCGAGCACCACAGGAAGCTGCCTTTGGTATTTTTAGTCACCCAATGCACAGGCCTCAGGTTTCTGTCTTAGCATCAGGAAGTGAAAGCCCTAATAGGCCCTTAGCCGGCACAAAGAAAAGGGCGACTCTGGGGCCACAGGAACAGAGGGGACCCGGAGGGCTGTGTAGTGTAGAGTGTGTTGCTCTGAGCAGTGGGTGTCTGTTGAGGAGCATGATCAAGGGGCCACGGGAAGGAGGGGAAGAGAGGACAGAGGAGAAGAAAAGTAGGGGGGTGTGGGATGGTGAGAGAAGGAAAATCTGCAGTGGAACAAGAGGTAACCAGGCAAGCGGAAGATTCGGGCTGTGTTCATGCTTCTGGTGCTACCTGGCCTTGCGCCCCTGGGCAAGCTATCACTCTTCCAGAGCGCTGTTCTCCCAGCCACAACGTGAGGGGAGCCTGGGCTGTACCTCCAATCACCTGGGAGTCATTACACTGAACTTCACCCAGCCTGCTGAACTCACACTGCAAGAGGATGGAGCTGGTGACTTGAGGTGACTGGTTTGTGGTGTTGTCTGCACTTGGTTAGCACTCGGGGAGCAAACGAGCCGAGCTTCCTTCCAGCCTTCCCATCCTGAAGGTTCTGTGGCTCTATAACACACTTCCCACCTCCTATTCTTATCCAAGCCTGGGTCTGGTGCCCAGCAGGCGCGTTGGCTCAGCTTGGCCACACTTTCCACTAGCTGAGGCTGCTTGGGAGTCTCAGGAGACCAAAGCCTGCTAGATCAGGAGCAGGAGACAGAAAGGCATGTTCCCTGGGAGTCAGGCGGTCGCCAGCTAACAGTTCCCGAAGGTGAACAGTAGAGGGCGCCAGGTCGCTTTCCCCAGGGAGGTGATGTGAGTAAACATAAGAGGCTAATGGAACTTTGGAAATGAAAAATACCTTAGAGAGCCCCAGTACAACCCCTGTGTTTTACACAAGAGGAGACAGGCTCAGAGAGGGAAAGTGGCACTAGAGTCAAGTGGCCTGAGTGTCCTCTACACTCTGAGCACTGACCGACCTTCCTTTTCAGCCATAGCTACATCATGACGGCCTTGGCATGTTCCCTCACTGTGCTTCATGAATTTTATCGCGGTAACACGATAAGAATTAAATAGATGGATGGCCCAGACGGCTGGATTCCTGGAAGGCTTTTTCTGGGAAGATCCCGTCTTTAATGGGGTGTCTTCATTCACACCCATGCCTTTCTCCTGGTCATCACCTGCATCTTGGGAAAAGGAGGATGCCAAGAATGCCTGCTGGAAATAGCCTGAGAAACTGAGAAAGGCCAACTAAAATGGACCCAGCATCTAGCGTGGGTGAGGAAACACAAGATGTGTCCATGCTCTTCCATCAAGTTAAGGAAACTTTGAGGGGGGCGGGGGCGGTAGGTGGGGGGAGGGGTGTGTGGCGCTGTTCTCTGAACCCATAGGCTTTCTATAGAAAGCTGAACAGGAACTGGAGGAGAACATTCTAGGTTCCGCCTCAAGATTCTGGGATTACAACAGAAACTTTTGAATTAGATCCATGAAAGGACTCCCCAACTCATAAGGAACTGTGAAACCTGAAGATTTAAAAAGTAATGACTGGAAAGATATCTCTGTCATCTTTTCCCAGTTGACAATGAGTTTATGCCTTGAATGGAATAGGAGTTGCTGGTGTGGTGATTGTGGAGGAAAACAGAAGACAAAGAAAGTCAGTCAACATGGGCGTGGAGCCTTGGTTCTCTATGTGTGGCCCTAGTGGCATCTCCTGGCAACCTGTTAGCACACAGATTCTCAGGGTCCTTTGATAGCTCAGAAAGTCTGGCGTTGAGGAAGTCCTGAAGGTGATTTTGAGGTGTGCTGACACTTGAGCACCACTGGCTCAGGGGTATGGATGGCTTAGAGACAGAAAGGGTAGATGACCTCCAGATAACCCCATGAACTTCTCTGAGCCCACTGAGTCAGGGGTTGAAAGACAGCAGAGATATCTGATAGCTGATCTGGCGGTTCTTGATGTCAAGAGGCCATGCTCTTTCTCTAAGGATGAGTGTTAAGGGACAGGGAGAGGTCATTCTACTATTATTTCCATGCCTTTCCGCTTCGAGAAGAGACACAGAGCCATACTCATGGGTAATTTGCCAGAAGTTGGCTATGAAAGGAAGACAAGTCCAGGGAGACATTTGAGACATCACCAAGCTATAGACAATCATTCACATACACGTGGGTTTTTGTGCTCTGCAAGGGTCTCATTTCTGTGGAAACACACTGGCCCCTGCTCCCCAAGATCGGGGTGCCCTAGAAAGCCCATCTCACCTTCCTCAGTGACTCGGAGGGGAATCAGCCGTGTGGTCTTCACAAAGGGGCGGTGTGCCTCAAACTCAAACTCCCGGGACACGTTGCAGGTGTAGAGGCCAGAGTCATTCAGGGTGACGTTAAGCAACGTGATGGACACATCCTGCAAGTCCTTGCTCCCGTTCCACTGCAGGCGTCCCTGGAAGGGGCTCTCCACCTCCTGGTGGCCATTCCGATACTCGTAGATCTGCAGGTAGAGGAGGGTAGGGTCAGGGAGAAGACAGGACAAGAGAGATGAAACAGACAGACAGAAACAAGGAGCAGAGTTACCCAGACAGGGGAGAAAGGGAACAGTTCCAAGCACCTCAGAATTGGGGATGGGAGAGTGAGGAGGCCCCAACAAGGAAAGGACAGAGAGAAAAGTCAAAGAAAAATGGGCAGAGGCCAACAGTTATCAGGACATAGGGATATGGCCAGGGAAACGATAGAAAGGGACGGGCAAGAACAAGCTTTGCAGAAAAGAAAAAGTGGTAAGGAAAATGAAGGTGAGTGAGATGTGCGAGACCAGGAGCGGGGGAAATGAGAGAAAAGGGTTGCAAGGAGATAGGAGAAGGAGATGTGGGTGGGGGTGGTGGAGCCAAGAGAAGCAGTTTCATTGGTCATGAGGACATCGGGCAGCCCTGGCCTGCAAACCCCACTCAGAGGATGTGGGACGTCTGGGTCAGGCCACTGGAAGGGGATCTAGGACACTGAAGTGTTCCAGGTGAGCATACTACACTACACCCACCCCTCAGGTGGAAAGGGCTGAATTAGCACTGACTCCACTGGTCTCTACATTTTGTCATCCTCGTCTCCACATCCCAGCCATGTGTAACAACTGTTAGTAAAATTTAAATTAGTGGAGATTAAAGAAAAAGTAGGATTCAGTTCCACTAGCTATGTTTCAAGTGTTCTTGAGTCACAAGTGACTAGTGGCTACTGGACTGGACATGACACGTATGTATACAGCCACACGTATGTACTCAGACAGCATCGTCTATTTCTAGCACAATTTCTATATTTCTTTTCTTCCCTCTAAGTTGCTTTCTCTGCACTTTGGGAAACCTTAGAAGAAAAGGTGGACAGTGAGTATGCTCCTGAGGGACATCTGGGCAACACATCCAGGTTCCTGGCACCTGGTAACTAGCCTTGGTCAGGGTCAAGCCTGAGTCAGCATGGCCAGGTCTGGCCCTCAAGGGAGCAAGCTTACTCAGAAGGGCACACATAGCCTCAAGTTAGAAATGCATTAGCTTTAGAAAAGCCAGGCAGAAGAGAAAAACTCAATTTCACCCTCCTGTTGTCTCCATCAGATGTCCTTTGTGGAGGAGAGTCTTGCCTCCAGGAAGATGAGGTAGTGCAGTGAAAAGGATCTTGCCTCTGCTGTCAGGCCACCTGGTTCAAATCTAAGCTGTCTTACTAATAACTTCACTTCTTTGAGTCACAGTGGCCTCATGTACTTGCACACCTCTGTGTGTGTGTGTATGTGTGTGTTCCCTAGCCAACACCTAGACACCTTCCTCTATTGCAGAACTGGTTGCATGAATAGCTCTCGAGCCCTGGTAACTCTATAAGGTAGCTATATCGCCACTTTAGACAGAAAGAACCAAGGCACAGAGCCAACAATCTGTGGAGTTAAAAGTCAGACCCAGGCAGCCTGATACAGGGTCACTGAAAGTGTCAACCATGGACAGCCCCACCCAAGGTGAGATTCAAACCATGTGACAATCACTTGGCACTGGCACCAAGCTGTCAGATCTGATGCTGCCCACTGTACAGTCTTGGAGGCTCCTGGCTCTGAGAGGCACCCCTCCTGTAGTTTCTAGATCTCTCCAGACCTGCTCAGGGGGAGAGTAGACCTGGCACAACAAATATCCACTGCAGAACTTTTCAAACACATTACCCACCGATGTCACTGTCCCGGTTGAATGTCATTCTTCGTCATCCCTCTCTTACTTCCCTGGAACTGTGAGAGTTAAATGAGCTAACCTGTATGATCTCATACAATGCTTAGTGTTCATTTCAATTTTGCTATGCATTTAATCCACTAAGTAGGGGATGCCTGCCAGTGTCTTGTCAGCAACTAACATGCCCTGGTCTCTAAACACCATTTTCCTGGTTCCCCTCAGTGTCCGGGGATGCTTACTACTTTCACAGAGAGGGGCTAACTGGCTGTCAGTACTTTGAAAGGGAAAAGCAGGGTGTGAAAGATCCTCCATTCCCCAGACTCCCAGGAGCCAGTCACACAACACAGAAGCCAAAAACAAAGAAGGAGTCAGCAGTTGGACATACGAGGAAATCTTTACCGCCCTCAGGCCTGTAGAACCACTCCACCACCGTGGTGGCCTCCACCTCCTCCCTCTTCATGCAGGAGATGCAGCGCAGCTTCATGAATTTGCCCTGAACCACCTCTGTCTCCGAGGGCACCTCCACACACACAGGGATGCAGACATTGACTGCAGAGAGGTAAGTGACAGGGAAGGGACAAGAGGTGTGGGGGAAGGGAACGGCATTGGAGAACAGGTGGAGAGAGCAGAGACAGAGAAGGAACAATCATGAGACAAATTGGATAAGAGCATGTGCATGTTTCCACGGTCACCTGTGCCCCCTTAGCGGAGGTGCTCAGAGTAGCAGGAAGTGGGGCAGAGTAGGCAGAGAGGACCCAGGGTGACCTGCAAACCTCCCAGAAGCAGAGGTGCTGCAGTACAACACACACCTGAGTCATGCCCTCAAAGATTAAGGTCTAGGGTGCACTAGCACTCAACTGTGTCCATGCATGCATCCCTTCATTCAACCAGCATTCACTAAAGTCCACTTACCAGGCCAGGGGCTGGGCTGAGACTGAGACATGAGGATAAACAAAACACCAGCCAAGTCCTAAAGGTGTTTTATAACTCAGGCAGCACATACTCCTCCATATGATTAAGACAGACCACAGTGAATGACATCCTAGCCACAGCGCTCTTCCCAGAGAAGGGGGTGAAGGAGAGGAGGAGGAGTATGGTGGGGCTGGAGGCCAGACAGGTAGGTCAGCTTCACGCTGTGAGGGCCTCTGTAAGTATCATGTAAGGCTCTTAATGCACAAGACACATCATGGTGTGTTTTATGAAAAACATGACACGTGGTGTAATATGGAGCAGCTGACCATTGGGTGGAAGCAAGAATGCTCTATGCAGAGGAGCAGAGGAATAAACTCAAAAATTTGCAGGGAGGTCAGATTGTGGGACACTCTGCGTGTCACCCTGAGCTCTGGTCTTGTAGTTCCTGCCCCAAAAAAACTCAGTCCCCGTTTAGGAAAAAAATAAGGCAGTACATCTGACTGCAAATTCAGAATGAGTTAAAAGTGGGACATGGCTGCCAGTAAAGCAAGTATGAATGTGGGTTGCATTAACAGATGTATAATGAGCTGAACAAAGGAGGATAAGTTCCGCAGCACAAATCTAGGCTACTGGGATCAGTCAGGGTGTCACAGTTTACAAAAGTGTATGCCCACAGGGTGAAGGATCTGGAGACAACATCTGGTAAGGAGTGAATGGGAAAATTGAGGTTGCTTAGTGTGGACACAGAACTCACCTGCCTTCAAATATTTGAAGGCAAGCCTGTGGAAGAGAAACAGATTCTTGCTAACTCCAAACGTTACAAGAAAATAAGTTTAGCTCATAAACTTATTTTCAAAATGTAGTCAAAAAACACCACCAAAATTATCTGGTAGGAGTTTCATTGTATGGAAAATTCAGAATCTACATGACTATCAGTGTCATCTTGGGTCAGGACCCCGCCTGCTGCTACATTCCATGAATTAACAATAAAACTCCTTAAAGAAAAAAAAAAAAAAAA